CTTTAAATGCCTTATCATTCTGAATATAATGTTTCTTGTTTAAAAAACTATCTGTCAAATAAACTCTTATTTAAAAAAACAAAAGCAAACCAAACATAAGACACTACCAGTCCCCATGAGGAGAAACACAAGGCAGAAAGTCTTAACTAAACCATGTCCAGGGACTGTTCCAGACTCTGAGGATACAGCAGCTAATACAATGGACCAAAATCCCAGCCTTTATGGAGATTACATCCTAGTGGAAGGAGACAGACAATAACAAATGAATAAAATATGTGCTGTATCAGGTGGTGATAAGTGCTGTGGAGAGAAAATAAGGAAGGAGATAGGCAATGGGGGGAGGGCTGCCATTTTAAAAAAGGGTGGCCAGGAAAGGCCTCACTGAGAAGGCAGCTTTTGAGTCAAGACTGTGCTGTCTAAGGGAGTGGGCCCTGTAGGTCCTGGCTGGCATGGCTTTTCTTGCTTTGGGTTTTGGGGTTTTAAGGTGGTAGCATGTTTTGTCCACAATAGTTTGTGAAATTTTTAATGAATATCATATCTAATTAGGAAGTCTTTGGGGGTACTAGAAGTTGTTAGCCTGAAGAGAGAATTATTATTCATTATCCCTGCCTTACTCTTTAAAAAAAAGTATTCTGTCATTTATTGAGTGCCAGACAATATTTCTCATTTCTTATATGCCAGATAATAAGTGTTTTATATTAATTGATTAACACATTACTAATATCTATATTAACACATTGCTATTGTAATATATTATTATGTATTATTATAACAGTCCTAGAAGGGCCTTTCCCCAGGTGCTGGGGATATAGCAGTGAACAAAATAAGTCCCTATTTTCATGTAGCTTAGCTAATACGGGAAGATACACAATAAGCACAAACATTTGACTATATAGAATGTCAGATGGTAAAACAAGCTATGGAGAACAAGAGATCAGGTAAAGAGCATAGGAAACATGTGGTGGGGAGGTGTGGGAGGGAAATATTATTCAATACATGGTCTCATTTTTTATGGCTGATTCCAAATACCATGCTGGGCTGTGTTGCAAAATGGCTATGAGCCCAGGTTCTAGAAGTACAGACATCTGGATTTGACTCTACATTCTCCCACCGATAAGCAATGTGACCCCAAATAAGTTATTTCTGAACCTCAGTTTCTTTATTTGTAAAATGAGGATAATGACACTTCATAGGATTGTTGGGAGGACCAATCAAGTCAGATGAAATCAAATCATCCATATAAAGCACCAAGCACAATGCCTGTCACCACAAAGCAGACGCTCTGAATTTATCATTTGTTTTGCTCATTGATCCCCTACATGGGCATCTAGCTTCTTGCAAAATACTGTGATAATGATCACCACCAGAGAAAATAATTCATTAAAAAACAACAACAACAACAAAGAGAACAGCTTGGCAATAGAGAAGCCACCTGTGCTAGACACAGAAAATTGGCCAGATAACTTATTAAACCTATGCTGTTGCTTCCTTCTAGAAACAAAAATAGAAGACCTTTTGACACATAAGGCAATAGCTTTTATTTTTGTCTTTTTTCTGCATGGAGTTAGTGTGACAGGGAAGACAAGCCCTGTTACATACACCATGAAGCAGCAGGACCAGAAGCAGATCTAAGCTGTCTAATGAGTTTGGACCTGGACAACACAGATCTTTTGCTTTACGGATAGGAAGTTAAAGGCTGGAGGCCTAAGCTGAACCTACTTTTCCCACCCCCATGGGACTAGCTAGCTCAGCAGGCAGGGTTTAGTCAGGAGGCAAAAACGAAGAGTGATTTGAATAGAGAGAATTGAATGTTATCAACGGTTAACTAGGAATCCAGTCGTTATTAGGTAACTGAAAGGGTCTCTGAAAAAGCGCTCTAAGGTATAAGGAGGTAGCAACTGCAGGAAAGTTACCACCTCTAGGGCTGAGAGAACAAAGGGGAAAGACTGGAATTATTAAAATTTAGGAACTTGGAGGAGGGGCCCTGCAGAACTGACACTCAGACCTTTGAAAAGGTGGGGAGGGGATTGCTCAGCTGGTGCTAGTGTCTCTGAGGGGCTGCTATGTGGCTGATGTTGCACGTGCTGGGTAAACTTCAAACTGGATCCAATGGCTGCAAGCAAAGAGAATCTGCTGTGGATGGGGGAGACCACTTGCTAGGCTGTACTAATAGGAACAGGTAGGAGTGTGTCCCCTGTCCCTCCTCCAGCCTTGACAGCCCCTATTGACAGAGCCAAACATGGAGCAACTGGCAAAGTGGAAATGTGGCCTGTAGAATCCCAGCCTGCAACACCAGCAAGCTGACTAGAGTAGAGAAGCATGGGGTGAGAGGTGACATGTGATAGCTTAGTACGTGGTGTTCATGCTCAGGCGTAGGGGCTCAGGTACAGGAATGCAAGCCTTAACAGAGATGGCGAATTCCCAAGCTGGGGTCAAGGCTGGCTCAGCTTACTGACTTTGGAGTAAAAGAGGAAGTGTAAGAGATAGGGAACTGCACGTGGCTATCTACCTTCCAAGGCCCAATACCCATGAATGTACTGTGTGCTTTACCAAACAAAATAGCAACTCTGCCCCTGGGGAGTGGGCTGTGGTCCACTGAAAGGCAGAGATTGGAGAGTAGACTTACATGGCCTCTTTCCCCTTGTTGGGGAGTAGTAGAAGTAATAGTATAGGTAATGTGTCTGGCTTAGTGTCAGGCACATACTAGGCACTCAATAAATGGTGGCTATTATTCAAGGGAAAGAAAAAGTACAAATAGATTAGGGAATGAAGTAACTGGCCATATATAGTGGAGAGAGCCCACAACTTGGACTTAGATGACCTGGGTCCATACTAGGTAAGTGACTTGAACAAGTTCCTTGCCTCTCTAAACTGGAAGTTTCCTTATATGTAACATGGAGATGATAATACTTGGGACTTGATGTTTTGTAGTATAGACCTTTAACACATGGTAGCTATTTTGTTCAATGATCAGTTATAGAAATAAAATAAGCTTGATTATTTATTATTGATGTTGCTAATAGTAAATAAAAGAGACTTTAGAGATCATTTATTTCACTCCATCATTGTGCAGATGAAGAAACTGAGGCACAGAAAAAAGTTAGTAGCTCTATGGAGGTTAAGCGCTTGGGCTATGGAGTCAGTGAGACTTTGATTCATTTCCTTGCTGTCCATTTCTTTTCATTGTGTAAGTGACCTTAAGTTAGTCTGTCTCAGGTTTACAGTGTGGCGAGGACTCCAGAAATGACTCTATTGCTTGTCCCTGCACTGGAACATTGTACTTGGTGAACAGCAAACCACTTAGGTGAGGGTTGGTTGGTCATAACAGTGACTATTCCACAGAGCAGATCTCTCAGGTAAGCCTGGACTGTCCATAAGGAAATGGTAAGAACATGAGATTTCAGCCATGGTACTACCAATTATTTGCTTTGCAGTATTGAACAGGTTACTCAGCTTCTCCCTGTGGTTTTTCCCTATGAAGATTTTGATACTTGACCTTATGTCTGCTTCCTGGGGTTTTTTGGGAAGCTGAACAATGAAATGAGTCCCTGAAACCTGAGAGCCTTGAAGGAGCCCATGAAAAAACACCCTTAGATGACTAGTGTGTACGTGGTATGCCAGAGCAGTACTTGCAACCGAGGATGCTGGGACTGGAGGCCGGATTCCTGCTTTCAAAACTCAAACTGTTCTTATTATAGTGAACTCTTAATTTTTATGTGCTAACTGGGAAAAATTATACCATGAATGAAAGGAGCCAGCTGTGTTCATTGCTCTTCACTCTAAAACTCGAGGAAGGCATAAAAGACTAGATTTTAAATCTCAATTTTACCTGATCTCTTTGCTCAAAACTCTGAAGCTGCACAATAGTTCAAAGCCTACTAGAACAGAGTCAGTGTGCCTGAATAATCCACAAATAAGACAATACTTATTACTACAGTTACCATTTGTTTATCATGTGCTTTCCATCAGGCATTGGGCTAAACTCTGCCTATGGTATCTCATTTTGGATTGATAGTAATTATGAAGAGAGAGGTGTGTTCATTCCCATCTGTGACTTATCAATTGAATATCAGGCATAGAAGTGGAATTAATCATACTTCTCAATTCATTGTGCATTGCTATCATTGGTCTGTGCAAGACCCATGTTAGTTAATTAATTTTCTTATTCCTTTTTATCCATGTACCTGATGCTCATTCACCCCTCCCATAAATAACTAGTCTATTGTTTAGTGTGTATCATTTCCTTTGTATATATTCTGATGAAAAGTATATTGTGATTTTCTGTATGTGTATTTTGAATTTATATAAAATGGTATCATGTTATATTTCATTTCTGTCTCTAACTTTTTAATCTGAAGCACAACTCACTGAAGCACAACTTTTTAAAGATTCATTTGTGTTGCTACAGGTTTATCTAAAATATTGTTTCCGCTTGTGGCATAATACTCTATAGTGTGCACCCAACACAGTTGCACATTCTCCTTCCTAGCAACAGACAGCCAGGCTACACTGGCATCAGACTTCCTACTGCCACAAAGAAGCATTGTATTGCTATGTCTCCTTTATGTACTGTGTGAGAATTGCTTTGGGGTATATGGTGAAGAATGGCATTGTTACTTCATAGGGAATATGTAGACTTCATATGCTTAAATAGTGCCATAGGTAAGTACTGTTATCCCCATTTTACAGGGAACTGAGGCTTTGAGAGTTTTAATGACTTACCCAAAGTCACATAGATAGTAATTAGCAGAGCTGGGATTCAAATGCAGGTAGTCTTGCTCCAAAAATTCTACTCTTAATGTCTATGACATCATTCTTCTCTGAATATTTGAGACTTGTGGACATTTTACAAAAAACATGAAGGTAAATCTCATTGTTTGTAGTTTTTATGTTTGTAGAACTGAGGAATCCAGGTGGGCTGATTTTTTTTTCCTGAAGCACCCACATCCCCCCATAGCTGCATAGTAACTGTTTTTCTCTTTCATCCTGTGGGTCTGCAGCAATAAAAGCCGCGTTGATCATCCAAAATTGGTACCGGGGTTACAGAGCTCGGCTGACGACCAGAGAACGTTATGCTCTCACCGTCTTCCAGTCCATTGAATATGCTGATGAACAAGGCCAATTACAGGTCTGTTTTGTAAGCTTGTCTCTCCTTTTGGTAAAATGCTGCTCTTCACTGCTTGTTATTGAAAGAATGACAGGTTGGGACCATTTTGTAAAGCTAGGGAATGTTGGTGAAAGGCTTTAATAGAAGATATAGTGACATTGTCTTGGAACTAGCTATTGAGAGAGAGTATGATTTGGGATGAGGATGACATTTTTTCTCAGTTCTGAAGTTCACATTTTTAGGAGGGCTGCCAGATGTCTAGTTAACTAATAAAACTGGCCTTTTTCTATTTTGGGGTATGTGCCCCAGTGGGAAGTAAAGTTGTTACTTTATGAAGAAAAAAACATGGCGAAAAGTTAAAAAATGGAAGAATTTCCTGGGAACAACCTAAGAAAGTTCTAGCAGAAAATATAGATGGGTGAGGAAGGCCTTTTTAAAGCTTGCAAAAAATGATATATAATCCAACTTTAATGCTTATTGATAGAAAAAAGTACTTTTTAATAATAAAAAGATCTTAGAAAGATCTCCAATATAACTGTTAATAAAAAATCAACTATAGAACAGTATGTAGAGTTTTATTCCATATATATGAAAGGAAATTAAACATACAGCAAAAGTCTGGAAAAAGATACACAGTAAAGTGTTTCCAGTGATTATTTCTGGGGACAAGAGTGGTATTGATAGGTGGGAGTGGGTGGGAGGGTAATTCTCATTTTCATTCTGTATTGATTGTAGTTTTCACAATTATACTTATCTGTAAATTTATCAAATAATCTTTTAAAAATAATTAGGACAACTTCAAAAAGAATCAAAGAAATTAATGAATTTATACTTGGCACTTATAAAAACAGTATACTATGATTCAATCAGGTTGTCCCTTTGCCCTGATTAGGAGCTCACAGTGTGGGCTGTCCTTTCAAGTACTATAGAATATAGTGATGAATATAAAGGTAGAGTGAGCTCTCAACTTAATATGCTTTATATGTATACATTCCAGTATTAGTGCATTCTTTAATATTGACTTTTTATAACAGATTTATTGAGATACAATTCAGTTAAAGTATAAAATGTAATGGCCCTTAGTATATATATTTCCAAAGTTGTAACCATTACCAAAATACATTTTAGAACATTTTCATCACTTCCTCCCCTCAAGAAATCTTGATACTCATTAGCAGTCACTCCCATTCCCTGGCAACCACTAATCTGTTTTCTGTTTTTATAGATTTGCCTTTCCTGGACATATTTCATATAAATATAATCACACAATATGTGATCCTTTGGTGTCTGACTTCTTTCACTTAGCATAATGTCTTCAATATTCATCCATGTTATAGTGTGTATCAGTACTTCACTCCTTTTTATGGCTGGATAATACTTCATTGTATGGATATTGCATATTTTGTTTATTTCTAAGTGGGTAGATCTTTTGAAATATTTCTATTTTTTGACTATTTTAAATAATGCTGCTATGAATATTTGTGTGTAAGTTTCTGTGGTAACATATGTTTTCAATTCTTTTGGGTATATACCTATAAGTAGAACTGTGGGCCCATCTGGTAACTCTGTTTAACTTTTTAAGTAATTGCTAAATTGTTTTCCAAAGCAGCAGTACCATTTTACATTCCTGCTAGCAGTGTATGAAGTGGTCCAATTTTGCCACTCTTTTACAATACTTGTTAGTATTAGTCTTTTTGATTATAGCCATACTGGTGTGGGTGAAGTGGTATTTCATTGTGGTTTCTATTAACTCTTGTTATTTATTTATTTGTTTGTTTGTTTGTTTGTTACTGTTGACACTATTGCACATGTCCCCCATTTCCCCCCCTTTGCCCACCTCCACCCAGCCCCCAACCCCCACCCCTGGCCTTCATCACACTCTTGTATCATGTCCCTGGACTATGCATATAGGTTCCTTGGCTAATCCCTTTACCTTCTTTTATCCAGTCCCCTCCGCCTCCCTCCTTTCTGAGATCTGTCAGTCTGTTCCATGTATTCATGCTTCTGGTTCTATTTTTTTTTGTCAGTTTATTTTCTTCATTAGATTCCACATATAGGTGACATCATATGGTATTTGTCTTTTTCTCACTGGCTTATATTACTTAGCATAATACTCACCAGTTCCATCCATGCTGTTGCAAAGGGTAAGAGGTCCTTCCTTTTCCACAGCTGCATAGTATTCCCTTGTGTAAATGTACCGCAGCTTTTTCATCTGCTCATATAGGGGCGTGTATATTCTTTCTGACTGGTGCTTCAGGATTCTTAGAATATATTCCCAGAAGTGAAATTGTTGGGTCAAAAGACAGTTCCACTTTTAATTTTTTGAGGAAACCCATACTGTTTTCCACAGTGGTTACTCCAGTCTGCATTCTCACCAGCAGTGCACTAGGGTTCCCTTTTCTCCACATCCTCACCAGCACTTGTTGTTTGTTGTTTATTAACTCTTAATTGACAAATGTATCGATGGTATTAAAATTGTACATTTTTATATTTGAATGGAAAGTCTTCCTTCCCTCAACTCCCAGACCTATTCACAGGTTGATAAGATTTCGTAGTCTTCACTCTTTATGGGAGGCTGGACTCGGAGAAGTTATTTATGCTGTATAAATGCAGGTCTTTGCAGATAATTGGTAGGCATAGAAGCAGCAAATAGCTGATGGTTGGAATGCTGGTGGATTTCCATCTTTTCCTCCCTCCCTCCTTCCTTATTTCATTCCCCAAATATATTTGACATTTAAAAGTATCCCTTAACTCTTCATCTCACCACCAAAAGGAAAAGAAGAGATCATAATGAACAAAATCTAGTAGCCATCTTAGGTTGGTTTCCTAGAAGCAGAATCTGAGACAGGGATTCCAGTATAAGTGTTTTCCTAAGAGTGTTCTCAGGAAAAACTTTTAAGGAAGTGAAGAAATCAAGATTAGACAAGGGATGAAACTAGGCAAAAATGTGTTTTCTGGAGAAGCTTGACCTTAGTCTGAATCCCATTGGGAGCTCTGAAGTGTGAAATGCATCGCCGTTTACTCCAACCAGTGGCAAGGGAGGGGGGGCCTGGGTTGTAATACCCTTGTTTCAGATAGTCATTTTCTATGGGCACTCCCCCAAGAGGGTGAATATATGGTATCCTATGTGACTCTGAGAAAAGTGCCACCCATCTGCCAAGGGCAGTCCCTGGGAGGAGGGGGGCAGGTAGAGGTGGGACCTACTGCAGCTGGGGGATGAGTGCCCCAAAAGAATAAGGGGTCTTGCATGGAACACCAACAGCATTTGCCACAGTAGCTGTTTAGGGTTCATTAATTGATTAATGTATTTTTATTTTGTCCAGTTATCGAATTTCTTTTCCTTCATGTTGGAAAACTATGCAGGTATAAAAGAGAAAGATCCAGGTAAGTAAAAATTTAGTCTTTTGGAAAGCAATCATTAAATATTAAATTGTCCTCATCAAGGGATGTAAACTCTGAAGACAGAACATTAAACGTTTTAAAAGATGCCCACCTGCGTTGTCTATGTGTCACCAAACAACTGGTGAAATCAGTTCAGCTGGCTTTTTTCTTCTCTGATAGGTGTCAACTAAATTGACCATTTAATTCTTTCACTTTCAAAAAACTGAATTAGATTTCATTCAGTGTTAATTTTTTTAATACTCTCTCTGAGCCACAATCTATTGATGTACAATAGTAGCTTAATAAGGAAGATCTTATTCTTTATCCATGAAACTTTTGTGCTGAGGGATCAAAATATCTTATATGTTTTATGGAACAGGTCAGGGGGAAATGGTGGATTAAACACAGTTAGCCCTATCATATCTCTGTTTTCTGCATAGATATCTGTCTATTTATCTATCACTTATTTAGTCATTCTGAAATGACTAAATGAGTAATTTCAGAGACAGGCAACACAGGTGTGGTTCAAAAATGTTTTTAACATAGTTTTTAGCAAGGCATGTGTTTATTCTGCAAATTAAGATCTGCCTGTTATCTGCAAGGTAGATGCTAGAATTTAAAACCTTTTTATTTAGTTTGGGGCAACAATTTTTTACTCTAATTAAAAATGTTTATGGCATATTCCCTAGCCAAGCACCTCAGTTGGTTAGAGCATTGTCCTGGTACACCAAGGTTGCATGTTCAATCCCCAGTCAGGGCACATAAAAGAATAAACCAACGAATGCATAAATAACTGTAACAACAAAATTGATTTTTCTTTCTCTCTAAAAAAATCAATTAGAAAACAGTCATCAATATTAAAAATAAAGTGTTTATGGCATCTCAGAGCATATTTTAAATAATCTAGTGACCACCCTTTGAAGTGGCAAAAGAGTGGTGGTTTCATGGCATGCTTTTAGTTAAGTACATGTGTTTGAGACTAATTAAAGCATTTAATTATCTAGGGAAGCTTTATGAACGGTGGAATAGCCAAACCTGAAGAGTGGGGAGTGGGTGGAAATAGGTATTTTGCCATTTTCTTTCATTTAGATAATTGCAATCTGAAGAGAGTTGTTTGTGTTTCATGTTCTTTGGCAAAAATATTTCTGAGAGGAAATATAATAATTATGAAATGAAGTAGCACTCTTTCTGCTAATAACTTAATATTTCAATCTGGCCTGTGCATCAGAATTACTTATGGAGATTCATAGCTGCAGATGGCTGAGTTCCAGCCCAGAGATTTACTCAGTCTCTGGGGGTTTTTTGTTTTGTTTTGTTTTTTGCTTTTTTTAAATCTACATTTAAAAAATTCTGCAGGTGATTTAAAAATATATTTAAAATTTTATCAAAGAAGAGGACAGTGGCTTAATCTTCTTATGTAAACTTTACAGAAACTTTACATTACAGAAAAGTACACAAATCATAAGTATATGGCTCAATAGATTTTCTCAAAGTAAACATACCCTTGTAACCTGCACCCAGAACAAGAAATAAAACATTATCACACAACCCATGGACACAGACACCAGTATGGAGGTTGGCTTGGGGTGGAGAGAGGGTGGGCCTGGGTGGAGGTGAGGAAAGGGAGAAAAAGCAGGAACAACTGTAACAACATAAACAATAAAAATAAAACTAAAAAACAACAACCAGAATACACACACACACACACACACACACAGAAATAAAACATTATCAGAACCACAGAAACAGCCCACTACCTACCTGCCCCATCACTATGTTTCTGACTTCTATATCCCAGATTAATTTCTCTTGTTTTTGAACTTCTCTAAATAAATTAAAGCACAGAGCTTTGAGTTTGGCTTCTTTTACACCACATCGTATTTGTGAGAGTCATTCATGTCGTTGCAATTTGGTCATTCTTATTGCTGAATAATATTCCATTCTATGGATGTACCAAAATGTATCCATTCTACTGTTTATTCATTCCACTGTTTATAGACTTCTGACTTTTCAGTTTTGGCAATTTAAATGGTACTGCTGTGCATAGTCTTGTGCATGTTCATTTTGGTCTATATATGTACAAGGTCTGTCCAGAAGGTATCCAACCATCTAATATGAAACATAGAGACATTTATTGAAGAAGGTACAAGATACAAGAAACATTGTCCATAGGACAGTGACACCTCAGTCCCCTCCAAAGTAGGCACCTTGGGACCTCACACAGTTCTCCCAATCACCATCAGCTGCCCCACCATAATTTCCTGCATCTCACTGATGGCCTGAAATCTCTCCCCTTTCAAAGGTGATTTTAGTTTTAGGAAAAGCCAGAAGTTGCAGGGGGTCAAATCTGGGCTTTAGGGGGGCAGAGTCACCTGGATTATTTGATGTTTCACCAAAAAATTCTGTACAAGATGTGATGTATGAGCAGGTATGTTGTTATGATGAAGCTGCCAATCACTAGTTACCTATAGTTGTGGCCTTCTGAATCATCTGAATAGTTTCTGTGGAGGAATGTTAGAGCTTAATGCAAAATTCAATGCAGATTTATTAATCTACTTGCTCACTCATTTTGAATGTAATGGCTACATAGTACACATGCTCACTCAATGGCCTCTACTGTCCCTACTAACTAGTACAGTGAAGTCATCATTGTTCATGCATGCACATTCTAGTCCACTCTCCTTGGCTGTCAGGTTACATTGATGTAGTGCAAACCATTCTCATTATATTAACAATGACTAGACTTTTTCTGGACAGACTTCATATTCTTTCAAATTAGTGTTTTGTGTTTCTTTTTTTATATACCTATAAGTGGAATCACTAGGTCATAATGCAGTTTCATTTTTAATTTTTGGGGGGACCTTTATACTGTTTCCCATAGTGGCAGCATCAATCTGCATTCCCACCAACAGTACATGATAGTTCCTTTTTTCCACATCCTCGTCAATACTTGTTTGTTGATTTATTGACAGTAGCCATTCTGGCAGGTGTGAGGTGATATCTCATTGTGGTTTTAACTTGCATTTTTCTGATGATTAGTGATTTTGAGCATTTTTTATATGTCCATTGGTTATCTGTATGTCCTCTTTGGAGAACTGTCTATTCAGGCCTTCTTCCCATTTTTAAATTGGATTGTTTGTTTTTTTGGTTTTGAGTTGTATGAGCTCTTTATAAATTTTGGATATTACCCCCATCAGATGTATTATTGGCAAATATGTTCTCCCATTCACTGGGTTGTCTTTTCATTTTGTTGAAGGTTTTCTTTGCTGTGTAAAAACTTTTTAGTTTGATGTAGTCCCATTTGTTTATTTTTTCTTTTGTTTCCCTTGCCTGAGAGAATATATTAGAAAAAATGTTGCTATGAGAAATATCAGATATTTTACCGTGTATGTCTTCTTTGAGGATTTTTATGATTTCTATTTTTACATTTAAATCTTTAATCCATTTTGAGTTTATCCTTTTTTTTAAAGATTTTATTTACCTTTAGAGAGGGAAGGGAGGGAGAAAGAGGGAGAGAGAGAAACATCAATGTGTGGCCGCTGGGGGCCGCGGCCCGCAACCCAGGCATGCGCCCCGACTGGGAATCGAACCTGCGATGCCTTGGTTCGCAGCCCGCGCTCAATCCACTGAGCCATGCCAGCCAGGGCTTGAGTTTATTCTTGTATGTGGTGTAAGAAGGTGGTTTAGTTTTACTTTTTTGCATGTTATCTGTCCAATTTTCCCAACAGCATTTATTGAATAGGTTGTCTGTACCCCATTGTGTACATTTTAAAAAAGATTTTATTTATTTATTTACAGAGAGAGGAGAAGGGAGGGAGAAAAAGAGGGAGAGAAACATCAGTTGGTTGCCTCTTATTCACCCCCAAATGGGGACCTGGCCTGCAGCCCAGGCATATGCCCTGATAGGGAATAGAACGGGTGACCTTTCGGTTCACAGACCAGTGCTCAATCCACTGATCCACAGCAGCCAGTGCCCATTGTATATTCTTGTCTCCTTTGTCAAATATTAAGTGCCCATAGAGATATGTGTTAATATCTGGGTTCTCTATTCTATTTTATTGATATGTGTGTCTGTTTTTATGGCAGTACCATGTTGTTTTGATTACTATAGGCCTACAGTGTAGTTCAATATCTGGTAGTGTGAAACCTGCAACTTTGTTTTTCTTTCTCAACATTGCTGTGGCTATTCAGAGTCTTTTGTGGTTCCATATAAATTTTTGGATTATTTGTTCTATTTCTGTGAAATATGCCATGGGTATTTTGATAGAAAGTGCATTGACTCTATAGATTGCTTTGGGTAGTATGGACATTTTAATAATGTTAATTCTTCCTATTTGTGAGCATGGTATATGGTTCCATTTATTTGTATCATATTCAATGTATTTGTTTAGTATTTTTATAATTTTTGTAGTACAGGTCTTTTGCCTTTTTGGTTAAATTTATTCCTAGGTATTTTATCTTTTTTATGCAATTGTAAATGGGAGTGGTTTCTTAATTTTCCTTTCTGATAGTTCATTATTGGTGTATAAAATGCAACTGATTTCTGAATATTTTTTTATCCTGCTACTTTACTAAATTCATTTATAAGTTCTAGTAGTTTTTTGGGAGACCTTTAGGGTTCTTTATATAAAGTATCATGTCATCTTTTTACTTTCCAATTTGGATGCCTTTCATTTCTTCTTTCTGTCTGATTGCTGTGGCTAGGAGTTCCAGTATTATGTTGAATGAGAGAGGTCAGAGTACATACCTGTGCCTTGTTCCTGACCTTAAGGGGAATGCTTGTAGTTTTTCACTGTTGAGTATGATGTTGGCTGTGCGTTTGTCATATATGGCGTTTACTATGCTGGAGTGTTTTCCCTCTATTCCCACTTTGCTGAGAGTTCTTATCGTAAATGAGTGCTGGATGTTTTCAAAAAGCTTTTCCTGCATCTGTTGGTGTGATCATATGATTTTTATTTTTCACTTTGTTTATGTGGTGTATCATATTAATTGATTTGCAGATTTTGCACCAATCTTGTATTCCCAGAATAAATCCCACTTTATCATGGTGTGTGATCTTTTTAAAGTAGTGTTGGATTTGGTTTGCTAATATTTTGTTGAGGAATTTGCATCTATGTTCATTGGAGATATTGGCCTATAATTTCCTTTTTTTTTTTTTTTTGCAGTGTCTTTATCTGGTTTTGGAATTAGGATAATGCTGACCTCTTAAAAGGAGCTTGGGAATCTTTCCTCTTGAATATTTTAGAATAGTTTGAGGAGAGGTGCTATATTTTTTGTTGCTATGGTGAATATGATAATTTTCCCATGATACCTCCTCAATGATTATTGGTGGTATTTAGTAAAGTTATTGATTTATATCTATTTATTTTGTATTGTGCTATTATCAACTAACATTAATAAAATTATTTTTATTGCTGATATTTATTTAATGTTCACCTATGCTACATCATTAAGTACTTTAAATATATTATTTTATTTAGTCTTCCTAATACATCAGTGAGGTCAGTATTATTATCATCCCCTTTTTGTGGATGAGACTACTGAGACTTAGAAGGTAACCTCCCAAGGTTGTTCATTTTATCAGTGGTAAAGTTGTGATTAAAACCATTATGGTTAACCTCTATATTATGTTAATTCTTCTATCAGTTCTGGGAGTTTTTCAATTGATTTTCTCAAGCACATATATTTAATCACACTGGCTACAAGTAACTTTTCATCTTTGTGTCCAGCAGTCATTCCTCTTATTTTGACTTCATGTTTTGTTGCAGTGGCCGAAGATAGCAGAACAATGTTAAAATGAAACAGTGAAATCCTTGTTTTGTTCATGACTTAATAGAAAGACTATTATTGTTAATTTAAATTTTAAAAATTATGGTAAGGAGGTTTTTTGAGTTTTTAAAAGATCAGGAACAGATACTATATTTTATGAAATATCATTTTGGCAACTACTGAGTTTGTTATAGGAACACCCCACTGTTTTAATCCAGATTCATAATTTAGAAATAAAATAACTATAAATGCAGTTCAATTGGTGCTTGTCTTTTTCCAGAAATATCTGGAGCTTGTTTTCAAAGTGATGTGGACGGTAGAGGCAGAAATTGTTTTGTTTTGTTTTTAAATTATGGGCTTAAAATGATCCCTGTTCAGACTTTGAGTCTGTACTGGGTAAAAGAAAAGATTGTATGTAGGGGACGTTTTCCAGGTATTTTCCTTAGAAGACCTTGTAAGGGTATCATTCGGTTATAATTCAAAACTTTATTATATTTACTTAGATTCATGTTGACAGAATTATGAAATAAATAGGTAAGGATTAATTCTAATTAAGCATTGTACAAATCTCCATATATTGTTAGTATTTCTTAAATTATTATTATTAGTTATGATAGTCATAGCCCACAAAGACAGTTCTTGCGTTTGAAATGTTAAAGCTTTTAATTGTGTTTATACATGACCTACATTAGCTATACATTTGGAAAAGAATTTGTGTTATTGTTTTTTTTTTAATGAGGCTAAAAACCAGCTGAAGAATTATGATTTGGTGTCTCCTGATACTTCATACTTAGTAGTTTTGACCAAGGATTGTTTTAGGGCAATGGTGCTTTTTCATATATTTATTACTAAATTTATAAGGAATGAGGATTATTACATGTTTTGAAGGAAGGGTGAGACTGACCTTTTATCTGTTAAGAAGAAAAACTTTTTATTCTGTTCTTCAAAAACAAGACTGACTTTTAATAACCTGAACTAATGGAATTGACTTAATGTGTCAGCTGATGAGAAAGGGAGAGTTAACAGAATATGGGTGAAGGCAATGGTTGGGAAAAGAAAGTCGTTTCTTGTTTATATCTCACAGAGTTGGGATTGCTCAATAAGTCTGTTATAAGATGACATGGTGAAACTGCTGGGGTTGTCTTGTTTTTGTTGTTGTTGTTGTTGTTTTCCCAAGAGGAACCTGATATTTCAGTGTGCAGAGTTAAGAAGAGGAAAGTTTTCCCTTAGAACAGGATGCATCTTTAAGAATGACTACCAATTAGAAATGAGTGGCATTTGAGTGGCACTGATCACTATGATAGTCCAGTAGAGTATTTAGGCTTTACTGCCTACATAATGAGTCTGAGATACAATTTACCAAGATACTCTGCATTTCTAGTTTTCAAACATGAAATAATGAACTTATTCTCAAATCTCAAACCAAATCCAAAGGAAAAACAACTTGCTGGACCACATTGAAAATAGACATTATTACTCCTAAATTCAACTTCTTATAAAAGATCATCAGCCATTACCAAAAAAATATTGGATACACAATAATTTAGAAAGTATATTTAAATTACCAAATATGGCTCTAGAAAACATTTTCAAGTCTAGTTCTTAACTGTAATCCCTCAGAATAAGTGAATCAGGAAAAAAACATGTTCTAGCTACATCTGCTAACATCATACCTTCCAAACATGTTCACTCTAAATAAAAAAGATAGAAACTGCTTGCAGACAACCTCTGATTAATGGCATTAGTGGCAATTCAGTGTTAATGAGTTTAAGAGTATGTTATCCTCTGTATCAGTTATCTGTTACTTTAATGATAATGTGTATTCAACAACCACAATAGTTCAGTGTCATTTAATAAACATTTCATTTTGCTCAAAAGTCTACAGATTAGCTGAGCGTGTCTGCTGATCTTGGCAGGCTCGATTTGGCAGTTTTTCGGGTCTTGGCTGGAGTTCAGTTATGTTTTCTGGAGGTCTGCTGGCTGGAGGCTGATCTAGGATGGCCTTGGCTAGGATGACTCAGCTCTGCTCCACATGGTCTTGGAGCTTTCAGTAGGCTAGCCTGGACTTTGTGGTGGTGGCACGGTTTCAAATGAGAGAGCATGGAAACAAACACATCCTTGTGAGGCCTTGGCTTGGAACTGGTATGTAACACTTCACCACATTCTTTAGGCCAACACAAGTCACGAAGCAGCTTCAAGGGCTAGGGAAATAGACTCTTGGTGAGAATAGCTGCAAAATCACATTAAAAATAGCATGGCCAGAGGTTGGGATAGAGAATTGGGGTCACTGTTGCAATCAATGTACCATATCCCCTTTAATCTTCCTGTATCTGATTTGGCCAGATTTCTGTTCTCGGGTTGATCATTTCTTGGGCAGTCTAGCAAGAAGGGACACTGCATATCAGTATCTACTGAAATGGGCAATGCAGGCAATGTTACATAGAAATGTGTCTCTGAGACAGAAGTCCTTTGGAATTTCTGCCATCATGGTTTGTTCTAACTTTATCTGCTTTGTTACCAAGAAGAAAAAGAAAATCACATCAGAAAATTTGTTTTATGTGAGGATGGAGAGAAATCAATTAATTATAGCTAAGTAAAATTTGAAGTGTTTAACAGGGGAAAAATTGAATGTTGCAGTTTAAATTTCTGTAGATCATGAATAGCTGCAGATGTTTGAACCAAATACAATGCACTGTTGTTTTCAACCCTATTTGTAAAAATCTGAGATGTAAGAGTGGGCAAAAAATGTAGAGTTAGAGCTTCAGAGCATCAAAATACCGTAATTGACCAGTTTTCCCTGTGCTTCTTCCTCCATTCCCCACTGATGAACTCACTGCTTTGGTAAAATATCCACCCAGGAGAGGATGATGGTGATTCATGTGCACATACCTACTGATTTCAGAACAAATCATTCCTTGTGGTTACATGTGGGTACTTCAGTATGCATAACAGTTAGCACAGTACCTTACATGGGCTAGACATTCAAGAAGGTATTTAATGCATTTAAGTATGGGAATGCTCATTTTTGTCCCCCTTTCTGTTTTTTTTTCAGCAATAGTAAATCGACTATTTGGTTGTTCCTTCCCGGATGAAAAGAGTAAGTTGGATTGTATAGGAGTGATAGAGATCCCAGACTCCTATACTGGCCCTCGGCTGAAATTTCCACTCACTCCTGATTCTCTTCATTTACTGATTGAGGGCTTTAAGAAGCAGCAGGTAAGTGGAAGCAGATACTACCTTGATTCTTGTACATATCATGTGCTCAATGACTATTTGTTGAATGAATGGATGAAAACACTACATCAGAAATGCATTGCCTTGGGAAAAAGCTTCACATTAAGTGAGAGCTACTCTCTGCTTTGGTTAACCCACTGAATAGAAGTATCCTCAGGTGGCTCTGGCTGGTGTGGCTCAGTGGATTGAGTGCCGGTCTGTGAACCAAAGGATCTCTGGTTCGATCCCTAGTCAAGGCACATACCTGGGTTGCGGGCCAGGTCCCCAGTGGGAGGCATGTGAGAAGCAACCCCACATTGATGTTTCTCTCCATCTCTTTCTCTCCCCCTTCCCCTCTGTCTAAAAATTAACAAATAAAATCTTTTTAAAAAAGTATTCTCAGATGTGCAAAAACCTCCTTTCTATAGTTTACAGCATTTCCTTTTTCTCTGTCTGAGATATAATTTACCATTTAAACTATATGATTCTGTGGTTGTTTTGTACATTCACAAGATTGTGCAACCATCACCAATATCTAATTCCAGAACATCTTCATCACCCCCAAAAGAAGTGTCATACTTATTACCATTCCTTCCTCCCCTACCCCTGGCAACCACTATTATACTTTCTGTCTCTGTGGATTTGTCTCTTCTGGATATTTCATACAAATGAAATCATATAATATGTGGCTTTTGTGTTTGACTTTTGCATTTATGTGGCTTTGTGTCTTTCATTTAACATAATATTTTTAATATTCATTTATGTCATAGCCTATTTTATTACTTCTTTACTTTTATGGCTGACTAATATTCTATTGTAATGGATCTACTATTTTTGTTTATCAATTCATCAATGGATGGACTTTTGGATTTTTCTATCTTTTGGCTGTTATGAACAGTGCTGCTATCAACATTCACGTACAAGTTTTTGCATGAATATATGTTTTCATTTCTCTTGAGTATATACCTAGGAGTGAAATTGCTGGCTCATATGGCTACTCTATGTTTAATATTTTGAGGAACGTCCAAACCATTTGCCACAGCTGCACCTTTTTGCATTCCTACCAGCAATGGGTGAGGGTCATTTTTTTTTGCCAACACTAGTTATTTTCATTTTTTAAAAATTGTATATATTTTTTAGCCATCTTATTTGTGTGTGAAATGGTATCTACTTGTGGTTTTGATTTGCATTTCCCTGATGACTAAAGATGTTGAAAATCTTTTCATGTTTATTGGCCATTTGTACACACTCTTTGGAGAAATGTCCATTCAGATCCATTGACTACTTTAAAATCAGCTTATTTGTTTATTTATTATTGAGTTGTAGGAGTTCTTTATATATCCTGGATACAAATCCCTTATCAGGTACATGGTTTGCAAATATTTTCTCCCATTTTGTAGGTTTTCTTTTCACTTTTTTGTTAATATCCTTTGATTCACTAAAATTTCCAATTTTGATGAAGTCCAATTTATGTGTGTTTTTTTTTGGTTGCTTGTGCTTTTGGTGTCATATCTAAAAATCCATTGCTAAATCTAAGGTCATGAAGATTTACCCTTATGTTTTCTCCCCTCCAAGTACCAACCAGGCCTGATCCTGCTTAGCTTCTGAGATCAGGCGACCCTTGTATTTTCTTCTAAGAATTTTATAGCTTTAGTTCTTACATTTAGGTCTGGAAGCCATTTTCGGTAATTTTTTGTACATGGCACGAGGTAGAGGGTCCCGTTTCATCCTTTGTATGTAGATATGCAGTTGTCCCAGTGCTTTTTGTTGAAGAGTCTTTTTTTTTTTTAGTTTTTTTTTCCCATTGAATGGTCTTGGTACCCTTATCAAAAATTAATAGGCCATAGATGTATGGATTTATTTCTAGACTCCCAATTTTATTCCATTGGTGTATGTGTCTATCCTTATGCCAGCAGTATACTGTATGTTAATGTGGTGTATCACATTGATTAATTTTCTTATGTTGAACCACCCTTATATTCCTGGAATAAATCCCATTTGTTCATGGTGTATAAGTTTTTTTAAAAAATTCTGTTGAATTTGGTTTGCTGGTATGTTGTTGAGTATAGCATTTTATTCATAAGGGATATTGATCTGTGTTTTCTTTTCTTGTGGTATCTTTATCTGGCTTTGGTATAAGAGTAGTTCTGGCCTCATAGAATGATTTAGGAATTGTTTCTTCTTCTATTTTTTGCAAGAGTTTGAGACAGTTTGGTATTAATTCTATAAATATTTAGTAGAGTTCACCAATGAAGCTGTCTGGTCTTGGACTTTTATTTGTTAGGAGGTTTTTTGTTTGTATGTTTGTTTTGCTTGTTTTATCCTCACCCGAGGACATGCTTATTGATTTTAGAGAGAGGGGAAGGGAGGGCGAGAGAGAGGGAGAGAAACATCAATGTGAGAGACAAACATTGATTGATTCCCTTTTGCACACACCCTGACTGGGGCCAAACCCGCAACCTAGGTATGTGCCCTGACTGGGAATCAAAATGCAACCTTTCAGTTTACTGGATGATGCTCCAACCAACTGAGCCACATGGGCCAGGGAAGATGTTTCTGATGAACTATTCAACCTCTACTTGTCCTAGATCTGTTTGGATTTTCTGTTTCTTCTTGAGTCAGTTTTGGTAATTTGTATGATTCTAAGAATTTGTCCATTTAAGTTGTCTAATTTGTTGGTATACAATTGTTCACATTAGTCTCATAATTCTTTTTATTTCTTTAAGGTTAGTGGGAATGTCCCCACTTTCATTTCTGATTATGGTTACTTGTATTTTCTCTTTTTTCTTGGTCAGTGTAGCTAAAGGTTTTTGAATTTTGTTAAACTTTACAAAGAATGAACTTTTGGTTTTGTTGATTGTCTCTATTGTATTTTCATTTTCTATTTCATTTATCTGTACTCTAGTCATTATTTTCTTTCTTCAGCTAGCTTTTGGTTTAGTTTTTGCTTTTATTTTTCTAGCTCCTTGGTGTTAAGTGAAGCTTTTCATTTGAGATCTTTCTTCTTTTTTAATGTAGGTATTTACAGCTATAAATGTCTCTCTGAACATTGCTTTTGCTTCCTCCCATAAATTTTGGTATATTGTGTTTTAATTTTCATTCATCTCAAAGTATTTTCTAATTTCCCTTGTGATTTTTTGGACCAAAAAGTTGTTTAAGAGGATGTTGTTTAATTTCCACATATTTCTGAAGTTTTTCTTCTGTTGCTGATTTCTAGTTTCATTCCATTTTAGTCAGAGAAGATACTTTGCGTGGTTCCAATCTTTTAAAATCTGTTGAGGCTTGTTTTGTGGCCTAACATCTAATCTATTCTGGAGAACGTTCCATGTGCACCTATAAAAAATGTGTAGTCCTCTGTTGTTAGGTGGAGCATTTTATAGATGTCTGTTAGGTCTAGTTGTATGTGCGGTCTCTGAAGTCTCTGTTCCTTTAGCTTGTGTTCAGCTAGTGTTTTGACAGAGTTTTCTTGAACCCAGGAGCTATTAAAAAAAACAAAAGAAAAAAAAGAGAAGAACCTAGTCTTTGCAGATTAGCTCTGTGTTGGTACACCTCTTCACTGCTTAGCCAAGCTGTTTACCAATTTGTCTTAGCTTTTACTTCCTGCTTGCACTGAGCCATTTTAACTTGCCTTTTCCTGATTTAGCCTTTGTTTGGTTGTTATAAATTTTGACTGTTTCCTAGAACTCTGACAAAGTTGATTTTGACAGAGGTTTTTGCTTGACTTTTTAAAGTGTTTCTGTGATGGGATGGGACCTTGGAGCTACCTACTGCATTATTTTCTCTGACATCACCACAAAACCCTCATTCTCAGGTTAGGTTAGGACCCTAAGGACATACTCTAGGAGTAAGAGTAGACTGGAAGTAGACTAGGCATTGAAGCAAAGCTTTGAATCCTCTAATTCCTGAGATTGAATTGAGATGGCTAGCGTTTCTAGCCACCTGCCAAGAGAAAATTTAAATCCTCTCCGGAAGAAAATAGGCCTCAAATTATTTCTCCATGTTTTCACATACCATGTCCAGAACTTAATACAAATATTAACTAGGGACAGGAGCTTACAAGATTCGTGAAGGAAAACTGAGGATTTAGAGTGCTTTTGTGGGGAAAATCCTTAGCAATCTGTTAGTTCTCAAATAGACAGGAAAGCTGGGTCTCCACACTAATCAACACCCAGGAGCTCTTCTCTTTCCCCCTAATTCTCACATTACTTCAAATCCTGATTCCTGTGTTTTAAAAAAATAATAATGAATTTCTTCCAAATTTAAATCATATGTTTTTGGGATCTGGGGTAGAAAAAAGTATATTATCTTAATAGCCATGAAAATGGACATTTCAGGACACCATGAGTCATGATTGTTTCAAAGGGTTTTATCTGTCCTGAATCCCGTACCCAAAGCAGTATCTGAATGATATGTAAGTATGACCCCTCTCTTAGCATTCAGAAATGTAAACCAGGGCTGTCTAATAGAAAGGTAATATGAGTGACATACATATTGTAAATTTTTCAGGTAGTCATATTTAAAAAGTAAAAAGAAATAGGTGAAATTCATTTTAATAATATATTTTATTTAATCCAGCACATATAATTATCATTTTAATTTGTAATCCTGTTTTTAATAAGACATTTTAATTTTTTCATAATAAGTCTTTGAAATCTGGTGTGGATTTTGTGCCTATAGCATTCAACTAGCCCTATTTCAAGTGGTCAATAGCTCCATAGGACTAGTGGCTACTGTATTGGACTACCAACAGTTCCGAACCAGTGGTGTTAGGACCTATTAAATTTATATTGGTTATTTTACTTTTTGGCTTAAGTATTTGGAATATTTTATAATTCCAAAAAAGGGAAAACAACACAATGGATTTAAAACAAACAAACAAAAACCCAGGAAGAGAAAACAGAGTAAATCTGTACAAAACAATGATGTCATCAAGAATCCAGAGGGGAGGTGGGACAGGACAATGGGGGGAAAAGAGGGAAGGGTTTTCAGGAACAACTATAAAGGACACATGGACAAAACCAGGGCAGGGGTAGGATCAAGGGTGGAAAGTGGGGATGGCTGCAGTGGAGAGAAGATGGAGACAACTGTATTTGAACAACAATAAAAAAACTTTAAAATAATTATATATTATATATATATACACACACACACACACACATTTGAACAAAAAAACACAATTTAACTGGAGGAGAGTGATAGAATGAATGGTGGTCATAATAGGAGATAATTGAAATGGTTTGTTTGGGTTCAGTATGTTGTATACTTAGACTTGTACAACATAAATGTGCTTGCTGTTTTCTGAACTCACATCTATGCACCAACAATTGAGTCACACCTGGGATGCCTGGCTCAGGAGTTCTAGGGGCTTATCTGGCTTCCTTCTGAGATCTCTCATAACCCAGCACCACCACCTAGTTTCCATCCCAGGTGGCAGGATATGCCAAGCAAATGCAAAGCAGGTCCTCTTCAACAGTCTCTGTCTACTTCTCTTTTCTCTTTCTCCTTCCCCTCCGTCTCTTTTCCTTATTGATTTATTTGCACATTTCCTTAGGCCAAGGGAGTCTCCTGTTTTCCCCATCACTTCCCTTGGGCTTTAGACCAAGAATAATCAGAAATGTTCTGTGAATGGGGTGATGTCAATTAAGAGCATGAGAGTATAAATGTCCCAGAAACCATTCATTCATTCAGTTTACAAATCTCTAGTGAGAGCTTTTATATGACAGACACTGTGCTAGAATCAATCTATTTAAGAAGAATTTAGAGATGATCCTGAAATGTGCTCATATGCTCACCTTTATAGCTCTCTATGTAGTCATGCCTTTCTTCCTCGTTCATCACATCTGTTTCCTCTGCTTTGCCCTCACAGATACTCCATGCCTCTTATGTTTTAGAGATACTATTTGAAACTAAGGAAGCCCTGATGCAAATGCCAAATCTTAATCGTATAAGAACTTATCCCACCAAAGAGATAACAATTTGTGGTAAGTTTTAGAGCAGAGTTGACAAATTAATATTTTGGACCCTCTTGGTTCCACGTCATTTGCCTGTATTGAAAACTGCATAAATTGGACTATGTTAAGGAAAAATGTTAATATAGAGTTATCTATCATAATAATACTGTTCCCCATCTTGTCTTTGTTTTGCATACCAGCTGGCAGGAATTAATTATGTGAGAAATTAGAGAACTTACAGCTTTTTATAAAGGCAGGCAGCATTTTAATACGGAAAACCACCCGTGGGTAGAATAAGTGTCCTTTGCCCTCCGTCTAGCTCTCGTTATCTTTGTTCCATGTTGCTCTTCCTAGGTGGGCCTCTTATGCCACTTATGCTGGGAAGAGAAAACCCAGGGCAGGGTGGAGATTAAACTCATCTCTACCCTTGGCTGCTGTTTTAGATTTTTCCAACTGGTCTCTGCAGCTTTTAAAAGAGTGGGAATGTCCCGGAAATCTGTTCCTTGTTCTTCTAAATAACAAGATTGAGATTTTTGTTATCCTATAGGCCAGCCTGGCAGGATATTGCTTCACGAAACAGTACACATTGAAATTCAACACAGTTGGTGCTCAGCATGCTTGCAACGGTCTGAGAATGTAGTGCGTGGATGGAACAGCAACTCCCTTAACTTCTAATTAAGCCTTTAGGTTACAAAACAGTGATTGTTATTTTCCAAATCAATTTTTAGCCTGCGTCTCTTTTACTCTAGCAGGTAGAAGTGGATCTGACAATCTAATTAAACCATTTCCATTTCTAGCAACTGATAGTGGTGACAGAGACTTGATGTAGCAGTACATACTTCATGACGTGCCCTGACTGAGGTTTGTGAAGAGTCTTTAATGGTTCAATTCCAACCTAATCAGGCCACCACATCTTTACCCAGCAGACGAGGGATCTCAGCAGTGAGTGACCTCTTATTTAAGGCCTCGCCAGCTCTTCCTTTTCCGTGGATACAAAGGCTTTGGAGCCACGAGGCTCAGGAAGCCACGCCTACCCATGAAGGCTATGGAGCCAGGGCTAGATATGCTATCAGAGTGTATATAATAGGCCAAACAGAGAGTGGGACCTCTTTCCACAAGTTTCCAGCATACCTCGTTTCAGCTGTAGACTTATCTTTGGATATAAGGATCTAGAAGAAGATGTAAATTAATTAGAGGGCATGGAATCTTGGAAACACACAGTGTAAGAATGGAATGGTTCTTACAGAGACCATCTGTCTATCACTTGTTCTCAGATGAAACTGAGGCCCAGCAAGAAAAATACATCACCTTCCATGTATTTCTGTGTAGTCACTCCCCGTACCCCCACCCCAAGTTCACTCAGCTAGTTAGTGGCAGAGTCAGGATTAAAAATCAGATCCTCTGGCTAGAGCCAGCCTCATTATCTGCTATCCTAATTCCACAGCATGCACTGCTCTGGCTGATGCTTCATTTTCTATCATGAGACAAAGATTAGAGAATATAGATTGATTGGACAGTTCCATTCATTTAAAGATCCTCACATCTTAGGCATTTATTTCCAGGCTTTTTCCACTTAGCACCATTGGTAGAGGGAAAAGCCAAGGCCAGTGTGTTCCCTAGCACAGGAATTATCTTCTATCTTAACATAAGTATTAGGAAAGGAAAAGAAATTGTGATGAAATCTTTACCATTATTTTAATTTCTGGATGCATATTTTACGTACGTATTCTAAATATGCTACATGGTTCCCAGCAAGCATGAAATAGAGGAGGTGTTTTGTGCTCACTTCAGCAGCACATATACTAAACTTGGAATGATAGCAGAGAAGATTAGCATGGCCCCTAAGCAGGGATCACACACACAAACACACACACACACACACACACACACACACACGCAATATAGGAGGTGTTTCAGACTACAGTTGTGTTATAAATAACAGCCAATTCTGCACTCGTGTTTTTTTTTTGTGATCGAAATATCTTCCTATAGCAATCTTTCTATGATATGACTTTTATTTTTTGCTGTCCAACTAGAAGTTAAAAGATGTTTTTATAGCCTCTACTCCTAATATGCTGAAACCAATTCATTTTTTGGCATGCCAGCTGCAATAATTCTGTCTACTCAAATCTTTGAAAGATGAGTCACCCTGAAAACAATTCGGGAAATAAAATAATTAAAATATATATTTAACAGATAAGTAAAAAGTCTTTCCATTTTTATTTCTTTAGATTTGGAGTGAGACCATGTGGGAGCAATGAGATTTAAGTATATGATAGTATTAATATGCTCTTAATATTAATATTATAGTCATTTCATAAGTAAGTTCTGGTGAGAAGGGTTTTAATTTTATTATTCCCATTATAATTGGAGTCTTTTGTTGCATATATTTGGTTAATTTTGGTTGCAGGTTTTTAAGCAAATTGAGGAAAATTTTTTCTAAATTCTATCTGGTAATAAATATTTATGATCAGAGCTTATAAAAGACAAATATTTACCTAGAAATATTTATCCAAATAGGCATTTTGAATATTCATATACTCACTCTTGTTTTTTAATTAATTGCTTCATATATTCATTTGGCTTCCCTTAGCTGAGTTTCATAGTCATGCTTTTATTTTTATTGTCTATAACTGTCTCATCAAAAGAATGTGAGCTATCTACTCACAATTTTTAAGTTTCAGATGCTACTGCTGGAACATATTCTTTAAAATGTAGCTTTAAAAAGCTATGAATTTAGCAAATGTATTTATTGAATTCTTGCTATGCACTAGGTATAGCAGAAACACTTGGGGGTTTAATGCCAAGGTAGATAACTATTGCTGCTGTCCTAGAGATTACAATACAGAATAATCACTAAGAGATTCAGTTTTGAAGTGAGATAAAGTTGGGTTTGTATTCCAGTTCTGATACTTGGTAGCTAGGGAACTTTGGATAAGTTCCTTAACTACTCTGAGCCTCATTTGTAAAATGCAAATAACAAAAATAATATCCATCTCACAGAATGGCTATAAGGATTGAACAAGATAATTAATGCAGACCTGTAGTACAGTGCTTGGCACAGAGGAAGGTAAGCACTGCATAAATGGCAGGAGTGAATAGATAATTTCAATATTGGATGCCGTCCCCTACAGAAAAGGGGGCAGTTTCCATAGAGTGCTATGGAAACAAATTGTTGAATTAATAACATCATAGGATAATAACCCAATGCTCCAAGAATGCTTGGAGTATATTAACAGAATTGTAAATTCAGTTTTCAGTTTTAAAATTCTGTAACAAAAATGGGCATTTTGTTATTTCTTACTAAACAATCGTTTTCATTTGTACTCCAGGTGATTTGCATGGAAAATTAGATGATCTCCTTTTGATCTTCTCCAAGGTAAATTATTATTTTGCTAAATATTTGCATTTTGGGGGGGAAGGGCAGTCCTAGGGCAGATAACAATAGTAGTTTTATTAGGGATATATACAAATATAGACATAATATAGCAGTTTTTTACAAGAAGCTGAAAGACTTGTAGAGGGGTATCTTCTGAGATTCTGTTATACATATTTCATACAAATTTTTAAAAATTTAATTTGGTTCTTTGTTCAATATTATTGTTATCTGTATAGCCCTTAGGATTTGTACCCATTGTATTTATGGTCTTTATTACATCATAAATATGTAGATGGCACAGAATGGGGAGGGGAGCAGTCCATTTTATTTTATTTTATTTTATTTTATTTTATTTTAATTTTATTGTATTCAGAAATGAGCACATTACATACGTCTTCTCTTTCAATGCACACTAATTATGTATGAAAGGAATTCCCCACAGTAAGTTCCAAATTGCTCTTTTCTCCACCCAGTTCAGCATTGCTGGGTTCAGTTGCTTTTCCAGTGCCACGACTCCTCTTCATTTGTTGGGTCTAGGGGTGTGAGCCCACACAGAGGGCACAGAGCAGCTTGGTCTACATGGAGTATCTCTACATCTCTTGGTTTGGAATCATTTCTCTCTCTGAGCCAGCAGTTGTCAACTGAATGTTTGCTTCTGGGGTGACTGCATGTAGAAAACTGATCCTGAGGTGACCCCTGCCTTCACAGCGGTATCCCTTTATCTCTCTTTGATTGATGTGTCATCACCACAACTAGCATGTTGAATAATTGAGCACAGCATCGGTGTCTCCAATGGGCTAAAATAAAATATATTCTGATTATTATGATGGCCAATCAGTTCTAGTCTTTGAAGACTGTGAGAGCTTGAGTAAGCCACATAACTTTATAAACCTTAATTTTTTCTTTTGACTGCAATATTCTTGAGCTTTCGCCTCATTAGAGGTTGTCTTATGAATAAAATTACATAAATATCCAAAAGCATTTTTAAGTACTAATTTATACGAGAAATGAAAGGTTTCCACGTCATTCATTTAGAATGAAGCTCGGAAGGACATGGAGCAGGCCAAACCGGGAGTGGATGAATGGAGCTAGCACAGAGGAAATAGGAGGCTGCCCAGGTAGTGGGTTAGTATCAGGAAGTCCAGCCAAAGGTTTGCTGGAAGGGAGCTGAGAGTGCTGATGAAAGAGCAGCTCTAGAGATCAGCTGCTGAATCCAACCTGGGCGGGGAAGGAAGAGAAGCCAGGATGGGCCAGTCAACTGGGAGAAATGGGAAGACTGATGGATTGGCATGTTCTCAGAGGTCAGGGAGCAGGCGGCCTGGGGTTAGGGGCCTTAGAAAGCAGGACGGGTGGTAAGTTGCAAGGGGAGTAATCTTAAGGGATGAATGGGTTCAAGGTGGTGCCCAGAATGTGGGTAGCTAAAGTAAGTGAAAGAAAATAGTGGACATGAGATGGTCAAGCGCATGGAAAGCAGGTATGTTAAATGAGTTTGTGACAGGACTGACTGATGGAGAGCAGGGGAAGGAAGTTTTGTCACAGGTCGTGGGCCTGGAAGGAGAGGATTTTACCAAAGGCTGGCAAAATGTTGGTGTTTTACTGGCTCCGAGGAGTGAGTAGACCTTCCCCACACCTGACCCTGAGGTGTCGATCCTGTGGATGAATGGCTCCTTTCCTTCCAGCATCTTTAAGGGAGGCCCAGGTTTCCAGAGTGAGGTCTTTCCAAATGAGTCAGAGGCAGAAGGCAGTTTATTTACCACGAAATGGGGATTCTACTGGCCAAACTGGAAAGCTGTGGGAAAGATAGAAATGGTAGACTGGTGAGAGGACACCAAGGAGTTGCACGGTTTGGGGAATGGGATTTACATAACTCTACATAGCACCATATAAATGTTCAAAAGTTCAGTTCTGCCATTGTTGACAGTTACAACCTGAGGAAGGAGGAGGGGGCAGAGGTATGTGGGGACTAACCACAACAGAAAATCTGGTCATTATTTTTCTAGAGGTTTTGAGAAATACATAAAAGGGAAAATAGTTGAGTAAATTAAATGGGAAAAATGACTTTCAAGGCATTTAGAAGAGAAAATTTCTTGAGAGGTAGTCGAAGATATTAAGGCGTGATAAGGGAAAGGACTCTGGAACAGACATGAGAAAAAGAATTCTAACGTGTTCCTTTAATTCCATTGGCAAAACAATATGCAACATGGAATCTAATAAAAAACAGAACTAACAAGCAAAATAGACACAGACTCACAGATAGAGAGTAGGCTGACTGCTGCGGGTGGAGTGGGGTTGGAGAGGAGGGGTTGAGGAAAAAGGACTCATGGACATGGACAACAGTGTGGTGACTGCGGGCGCGGTGGGGAAAGAGTATAAGGAGACTAAATGGTAATGGAAAAAATACAATAAAAAGAAAAGTGAAAACTATATGGAACATATAAAACTGGAAGGTGCTAATGTAAAGATTGAACAGGAGGAGGTGGGCGGTAAGAAGTACTATAAAAAGAACTAAAGGTGAAAACATAGCATTCACATAGCAAGACATATTTTGAGAGTTAACCAGTGACAGTGTTCAGGAAGTAGAGATTAAAAGCACAGCGATGAAAGAGTGGGCACTATTGTTTGGAGTAGATTTGGGTAGAGGCAAGTGAGAAGGGTTGTTTGGAAAGCAGAAGTCTGTGGGAGCCATGAATTAGAATTTTAGCAGGCTGGAGTGAGAAGCAGATAAAATGCATCTCAGGTGTGGATTAAACCACATGCACAAGAACCTTGAAATCACTTGGTTTAAAAGGAGAAACTGAGGGAAAAGACCTTGATGACAGTCAGGTGCCACTTTAAGAAACTGAGAAGATGGTGTAGTTAATGGTGTCTGAGAAGGGAGAATGACCTGGTGGGCTTGTGATGATGGTGAGTCACTTAGCTTAGGGGCAGTGAGTGTCCTAAGTCAAAGGGTGAGAAAGAAAAGGGCAGGACAAAGATGGATCAGGAAGCTATGCTGTTTGATGATCTCTAACTTATAAAAAAAAAAGTCAGCATTCTGCCTTTTTCCTTCTCATTTTCTAAGATTTTATTTATTTATTTTTAGAGAGAGGGGAAGGGAAGGAGGAAGAGAGGGTGGGAAGCCTCGATGTGAGAGAGAAACATCAACCACTTGCCTCTCATATGTGTCCCTCCAGGGACTAAACCTAGAGCCCAGACATGGACCTTGACCAGGAATCGAACCAGCAGCCTTTTGCTTTGCGGGATAAAGTACATGCAACTGAGTCACACCAGTCAGAGCTTCTTTGTCATTTTTTAATCTGAAGTGTTTTGGTTTTCTTTGAATTGCAATATATAGACTTTATTTGCATCCCAATTCAAACATACAATTTAAAAATTATGACATTTACGCAACAATTGTAAATGGAAACACTGGCTAAATAATTTGATAGATATTTTTAAAATATTGCCAATTTTAAAAGCTGTGAGAATGATATTGTGGTTTCTTAAAGATTCATTATCTTTTATTTATTTATTTTATTTTGTTGTTGAGGTACAGTTTTCTACCTTTTACCCCCATCCTACCCCCCCAGCCTTCCCTACCTCCCTCCCATTTCCACCCCCTTCCTTATAATTGTCCATGTGTCCTTTACACTTGTTCCTGCACAATTTACAATAGCCAAGTGCTGGAAGTAACCTAGGTGCCCATCAGTAAATGAATAGATCAAAAAACTATGGTACATTTACACAATGGGATTCTATGCAGCAGAAAGAAGGAACTCCTACCCTTTGCCACAGCATGGATAGAACTGGAAAGCATTATGCCAAGCTATATAAGCCAAGCGGTGAAAGACAAGTACCATATGATCTCACCTTTAACAGGAATTTAATCTGAAGTTTAAATGAGGAATGATGGTAGATGGCAGAGTATAGGGTATAGTGCTACCTAAACCATGAATACAAACTGTTTTGGAAACAATGGTTTTACATGAATGCAAATGACAATGATACCCACCGGTCCATAGGTGAAACTCCCATCTACTTTACTTATTTTTTATCTTCACTTATCACTTCTACAGAAACCTAGAATTAAGTAAAAAGGGTCTCTTAGCTTTTGAAATTATTGTCACAAATCCAATGTACTTTACTCACAGGAGAGGTCCTAGGCCCTTACTCAAAGAACAGTGAACATGTATCAGTAAAACCTGATCTGACACGTTGCCTGCAAGTTTCCCAGCCTGGCTCCACCCCCGCCCCCCACTCTCCCGCTCTTTCTTTTTCCCAACAGATTATGGAGTGGGAGGGGAAAGGCAAAAGTGAGATACAATGACTGTGATGTAAAGATCTTCCAGACAGTAAGAGAAGATCTAGAACTCCAACAATGAGATAGGAAATGAAGTAGTAATTCTCTTGGAGAATCTGGGGTTTTGTGTATAGTGAACAGCTGTCTGTAGTTCCCAGAGGGGTCTGAGGGCATGCTTAGCCTGATGTGCCTGCAAGGTCAAGAAGGTTTCAGGTTCTAAGGTATGCACTGTGTTAAGAAATAAAGAAACAAATGGTACATTTTAAAAAACCCCAGCCAAAGTGGTTCAGGTAATTTTAAAATGTATTCTAGCTTTTAAAGGAGTTTCAATGATCTGGAAAATTCATTTCAGCAATGCTTACAGTATGAGTGAGTATCATTATTGGGTCTTAGCGAACATAAAAATAAAATAAGATTAGTTGAGAGAAGAGTAATGGTCCAAGAAAGGAGATGAAGAGGGAAAGAAGAACATCTTAAAATGAGGAGAGAGGTGGGGAGGGGTAGATTCTCTTTTTGGTGTCAGATACAAAGGTTGCCCACACAGGGATTACAACAGGTGCTATGACCCAAGCAATCACTTGCTTGCTTCAGGAAATGGTATTTTCTGTGATGGTGGCTGATTCTCACTGTGGTACTCAATGCACCAACAATGCATTAATGCCAATTACCTGTAATGCTCTGTATGTGGTGCTTTCCTCTAGTTCCTTCATTCGTAGGAGTACACAGGATTGAGCTGCCCCAGTGTCAGTCATGGGCTAGCTGTCGTCTGTTTAGAAGCAGCCAGTGACCATGCTTTCACTGATCCTTGCTTAATTTATTATTTATTTATTATTTAATTTATTAAAATTATCAACTTACTTGTGTTTTATTTATTAAAATCATTTTTATTTTATTCAAGTTCTGATTGAACTTGAATGGCAGGGAATAGCTTGGCAAAGTACATCCTGTTGGAGAGTTTTGGAGCTATAAATGACCAAGTTTATATTATGCTCTAACTGATTCTTCTCCATCAACCCCAAATAGAAATTAGGAAAACCTCAGGCTTTGAATTCAGGCAAAATTGTAACTCATCTTTCAGTTGGTGTTTTGCTCTCACCAGTTCTTTTACACAGTATAGGATGAGTAGGCTGCAGGGCTGCGGCTGGCCCAAGGCCAACCAAGGGCATAGCCTGAGAGGAAGACTTATAACATAGCGTCCCCCTGAGATGCCTGGCCATATTACCTTTCTCATTCAAGTGGTTGGTGTGACAATAGACTCCTGTTGTTATCCAAATTATATGTAGAAGGGTATCTGCCCACTAATTTATTCATTCAGTAATTTTAATGTGGTCCTTACAGTATACAAGGCACTATATAAACTGTGGAATGATACAAAGATGAATATGAAGTTCATTCATTTTATGTATGTGTATTAAACACTTATTATGAATGAGGTACTCTGATAAGGTTGGTGATATGGCAGGACTGAGACACTGTTTTTAGCTCCAAAGACATCACAGTTTAGTGAAGGAAGATCAACTAATAAAGCAATAGGACAGTTCTGGGGTGGGATGCGTTATAATTGGGATAAGCACGAGGCTCCAAGGGAGTAGATTGGAGGAGCACCTAACCTCATGGGAGACTTTCTGGAGGAGGTGACATTTAAGACAGTCCCTTCAAAGGATTTTAGTAACTAATAAGTGCCTAAGTCATGAAGGAAAGTTTTAGAGGATTGGAAAATATTTTATTCGCTCACACTTTTTGTGGTGTACTACAATAAATGATGAGATTCATACTAATGATTGTTCTTAATTGTTTGTTTTGAGATTTTGGCTTTCATATTTGGTTGTCTTTAGAAATTGTATCTTTTAAGCACCTTGACACTAAGCCAGACATTTTCAGATCACAATCCCATCTGGTTTTGGAAATAATTCTTTCCCCTGGGTGACACATGGTTAACCATGACAGACCTGTGCTTAAAAAAGGGCATCTCAACTTTATATGGCTCCAGTGTCTTCAAGTGAAGTAATTTACATAGCATTCATTAGGTCATATTTTTAGATTTTATTTTATGAACAGGTTAATTTAAGTCAGCCACTTTGGCTTAATTGGAGTGACCAATTTGAAATACTTTATTCAGAGCCTTAGCCTTGCTAACATTGCAAGGCAGTTTTCCTCACTGAAAACAAAGCTTGAAATTTTAGATCAAGTATTGGCAAATTATTTTGTTAAATTCGTGCTGTGAGTGGAGACCTCCTGAAGCTGAAACAGAGATGCACAGGGACAGAGAAAAGCTAATTAGCTCTTCACCCTGTGAGTGTCATATTGATGCTGCCCATTGGAAGCCATGCCATCTTGTTTTTTCCTTTTTCTTTCTCTTCCCTTCTGTCCCCCCACCCCATGCCTGTGATTTTCCAATTGAGAAGTTCATTAAATATTTTCTTGTTTTCTATCACTGACATGCTTCACACTGCCACAGTAATCAATTCTTTTCCTTTTGAGATTAAGGCAGTATGTTGGGAGCAGAACAGACCTCTGAAATAGGATTCATGAAAGATATAAAAATTGAAATAATATGGAGTTGAGGTCCAGAGGTTATTCTGTGAAGCGCCTTGGGGAAAATGTGTACCTCGGGGAAAATTTGTCATCACAGCTGAAAAATTGGGATGCTTTCTACATGTCTGTTGTAAAATGCTTCAGTAGGAAATAGGTGACGGTATAGGGAAATGTCTTGTGTGTCTCTATTCCAGTTAATTAATTGCAGTCTGCTGCCCCCCTGCCGCCCCCTGCAGGTCATCTGAGTGCTGTTCAGAGTTGTGATTACCCTGAGTTTTCTGTATTTGTCAACTTCATTTCTGTCATAGATGGTTTATTGTATATCAGCTACAGAATAAGCCAGAGAGTTTGGTTTACTGGAACTGAGTGAAGGATAGGGTATAGCAGCAGGTTTTGCTTCTTTGAAGGAAACCCAGAGAAATCTCAGTAACCAGAAGCCTAAATACTCCAAAGACTTATATTCCCGGAGACTTACTCTTCATCCTCTTACCTGTTTTCCAGTTCCCTATTATTCTAAGACTAAAACGTATTTGACTCAGACTATATAAAGTGATATGACTAATCCTGGGCCAACAGAGCAAATCTTATACATCCAAATTAATGTTGCCCTCTTCGAAGCGGTTAATGTAAAAGGCTCAACATGTACAGGTGTTCAGTATACACATTTAGGGCTCCTTTTGGAATCACTTTCAGAGACTGTGATATACTCAGTTGAATGATCTTCATCACCACAAATCTCAGGCTTTTGACGATGTGTTTGACTTTGTGAAAAGGTTAAAACTCATTGGTTGTCAAGCATCATGTATAAAGTGGATGGCCTAGCTGACCATTATTATTTTTGGCTTAAATTTAGGTATGACAAAGACATTCATTATCCTTTGCTTATGGCAGAGATGAAATACCTATAAACAAAGTTTGGCTTAACTGGAGATGAGAAGTTCTAATATAAGAAAGTTTGTCATCACAGCTGAAAACATGTTTACCATCCAATAATAATATGTGTAATTTTAGACTGTCAAATACTTTTCTCAAATTTTGATGTGGTTTCCTAGTAAGATCCAGCTCCCTCTCCCCCAACCAGGACCACACACATGTTCTGAGAGAAGGTCTCCCCTTAATCACGGGATCCACCGTCCCCCTCAGGCCCAGTTCTCCCTTGTTCTCACCCCAGGGCCCTCTGCTGCTGCTCCTCTAGCCCTCTTCAGGCCTGGACATCGCAGCAGAGCCTGTAGCCTCCAGCACTCTTCAGACTTCTCTAGCTTACTCATCCCAGACTGGGGGAAGGAAGAGTATCAAAGATGCAGAAACCTTCACTTTTTCTTAAAGGTTTGATGAGCAGTAGCCAATATTTTTGTAACTGACTCATGCTATCTAAGCCCAGTGTGAATAAAGTTACATAAATAAATGTATAAAAATGTAAAATAATGGGGTCTTAAGATTCAAAATAATACAAAGGTCATAACAAAGTGAATCTCTTAATTTATATGGCACTTCATGGTTTTCGTGCAATTTTATCGACACGGCCTCACTTGAGTTCAAAAGTAGTCCCATGCGGTAAGTATGGAGGTTATCATCCCCATTTTACAGATGAAGAAACTTACAGCTCATAAAGATCAAATAACTTGCCTAAGGACACATGGGTAATAGCGGAGCTGGGCTAGAGAGTAAGTCTTCTTGTTTCTGGCCCAGAACACTATACCACTGATTGCTTGTTTGTTTTCTATTGCCTTCAGAATGTTTCATTACATAGTGATTTCTGGAATCCCTAAGTTATATGTTGTAACCTGTATTATTTTTTCAACTATTCCTGTTATATTGATGTGAATAAAATGTATATAAGTACTAGGAGAGTGAGTGTAAAGTAATAAGAAAATACTTACATTTTGTCTTTGTAATGTATTTTTTTAAGCATTTGAATGTATCGTAACTATGCAATAGACGTGCACTTAACCATTTCTCTACCAGGCCTGGTAGGCATGACATATTTGTTTTGTCTTAGAATTTAGTAGCACAGAAGTAAAGGAATCAATAGTTCTTATAAAGACCAGAACTTTGTCCTGATCCCAGTTATTTTTCATGGTAACACTGTTTTCTAAAGTATTGTCTCATATTCAGGAGTGAAAATCAAAATATTTAACAACTAATATGTCCTGGTCAGTGAGCAGTGAGAACACATGCCAGCTATCAATACTTAGTGCAGTTGTCTCAGAGTGTACTGGTGCTATGTCGGCCCTGGTCACTTACACGGTGCCTTACACGTTCCCAGGCACTTTTGTATGCATTCTCTTATTTGATCTGGGGAGGAAGGGGTATAGTGTCATCCCCTTTGTGCAATTTGAGGGGCTCACACACAGCCCAGAGAAGTTAAACATAGGGCCCCTTAGAAGTTTCCCTCTTTTCCAAGGAAAAGGAAGAGAAGAGAGTAGCCATTTTTGATAGGACAAAGATCAGCTCCTTTCAGAGAAGACTTATAATAGATGGTGGGTAGAATGAGCAATCCTCATCTCCTCCGCCCCATTATCTTCCTGTCTCAAGCTAATTCTTTACTTCCACTGTCCCTTGCAGGAGATGACTGGCCTGGAAGAATAAACTGACTCAAGCAACTGATCAATTTTTTCCCAATGGGAGAACTGACTCAGCTTCTTTCTCCATGGTCTCAGGGACATTAAGTACAAAGCCTTACTTGAAATGTACATTTTTAACTGCTTGTTTTTCTCCCCTCTCCTTCTTCCACAGAACGGCCTCCCTTCATCATCCAACCCATATGTTTTTAATGGTGATTTTGTAGACCGAGGAAAAAATTCCATTGAGATCTTAATGATCTTGTGTGTGGGTTTTCTTCTCTATGGTGATGACCTGTGCTTAAACAGAGGAAACCATGAAGATTTTTTAATGAACATGAGGTAACGTAGGCCTTTAGATGTCCTCTCCCCCCACCCCCATTTTGGAAAATTCCATCGTGTTCAGTTCCTAGCAAAGAGTTAGAGGTGAGTGTAGAGAAGTAGGGATGAAAGGAATCTCAAGGAATAGCTCAATTCTTACCCCTTTTTATAACCCCTAGTCTACTGAGTGAGTGTACATTGTTCTGAAGTCCTTTTCCTATATTTTCTTCTAGTTCTGTTCTTCCTTCTATTATGTTCTTTCTCATCCTCTCGTCCCACCCTTCACAGTGCAAACTGAGCGCTGGGTAGGTGTGTTAGGTCAGGTTTGGAGGTGTGGTAGGTTCTGTGGACAGGCTTCAATGGGATCATTCTGTTGCTACCCTTTTGGCTTGTCTCACGTGTTGTTTCAGAAACTAGTACTGTGTTTTTCATTAATGTGTATATTTTTTAATCACATGGTAATTGCTTCCAGCACAGTTGTTCATAAACCTATTTGAGAACAGCTGTAACAGCATTTCAACTATCTGATTCACTGGAGATTTGAGAAATAAAGATTGATGAAATGATTTACCAATTTTTGCTGAAAGGCCCAGTAGGTGATACACGTTCCCCTTTCCCTTTTTTATTTTTCTTCTTCCTCCTCTTCTACCTCCTGTTCGTCTCCTCCTCCTTTCCTTTTTCTTGTTTCCTTTTTTGTTGTTGTTTCTTGTTTTACAGAAAATAGGAACCCGTTTTCCCTAGGGCAGTAGAAGGCATGGCATGTTTCATGTTTTTGGTCCTGGGCTTTTGGATGCCTTGATCAAAGCTCAGCAATTGATCAGTCTTGTCTTTGGTGCAGTTTTGGCACCTGGTCACAGTATAGAGTTTTAATTCTAATTCTTAGGTAAGGAAGCAAATACTAAGACGATGAAGAAAAACATTCCAAGACTATTATCAGAGGCCCATTGTATGTAGTGTAGCTAAACACCCTTATTTGAGCACGCCTTTTATCCTTTCATTTATTCATTTAGCCAATCATATTTATTTAGTGCTAACAATGGTTAATGAAAGACACATGCCCCTTCCCTCATAGAGTTTATATCTAGCAAACAGAACACGTATTGAGCAGGGTTTTCAAGCGCGATGAGTTTGTAAAGTGGAGGATCCGATCTGTCTGAGGGGTGATAGAAGGTTGTCCCACAGAAGTATGGCATTAGCCTGAGCGCCAAAGAATGAATTAGGCAATGAAGGGGCCATGGTGTTTCACAGTGGGAGGACAACTTATGCAGAGCTTAAGACAAGACTTTTTAGACTTGAAAGAAGTTCAGGAGGCAGGAGCATAGACTGAGGGACAGGATGGCGTCTCATAGTGTTGCAGACATAAGAAATGGTTGAATTGTGCAAAGGAATTTTGATTCTCTTGTGAAGACAACAGAAAATCACCGGAGAGTATCATACAATTTGTGTTTTAAAATGCAGCAGGAAGAGTAATTTGGAGAGGGGTAACAATGATATGTGGGGAGGCCAGTTAAGAAGCAGTTGAAGAGTAGATGATGGATTTTCACTTAGACTAGGGTGACGGGGATGGAGATGCAAAGAACTAGGTAGATTCAAGAGGAGTTTAGGAAATGATGACTTAAGGTTTGGTAACATAGTATGAGGGACTTGAAAGAGGAGAGAATCAAGGGTGATCTCTAGGTTCTTGGCTTGAGTTTGGTGGGTATGTAGCATCATTCACTGATATTGGGAACATGAAAAGGGGAGAAAGTTGGGATGAGAGAGAATGATGGGTCCAGTTTGAGGAAAGCTCATTTGAGGTGCTGTTGAGCAGGCAGTTGAGTATACATGTCCCAAGCTCAGAAATGAAGTATAGGCTGGAGCGTTGTCCTGTAGTACTGGCACATGGATAATAACTGAAGCCCTGGGCAAGCATGATGTTGTCAAGGGAGCAAGGGAAGGGAGAAGAGGGCCTGGGACAGAATCTGAAGAAACTCCCAGCATTTAAGGCTCGGTAGAGGAGAACTTGCAAAGGAGATTCACACTAACTAGAAAGGTAGGAGGAAAACCAGGAGAGTTTACTGTCAATCAATCCAAGAGAAGGAAAGTTTTCCAGAAGGACTGTATAGTCAACTGTATTAGTGTTTCAGAAAGGGCAAGAAAGATGAGAACTGCAAAGTGTCCATCGGATTTAAGAACATGGACACCTTTGGTGAGCGTAGGACTGAATTCATCCCAGAAAACATAATGTTACACTGTACAAGCCTGACATGACATGATTTGCATAGAAACGTAGAGTGAGTATGTTGTGTTCCAACTTTACCGTTTGGGGTATTAAGAGTATGTGCTGTTAGGCTAAGGCAAAGAAAAGTAATTGAAAAAAAAACATCCCATCATTAAATATCCCTTGGCAACTGCTATTCAGACTCTAAAATTCCTGACACTTTCTATTAAAACCTTCAATACCATTACATGAAGTATAGCAGAGAGACTATGAAGAGCCAACTCATTTATCTTCTAGGTTTTTCTCTATCTCTGTTCAGTCGTTTTTCCTCTCACTATCATTCATTTACTGTAAGATAAAAATGGTCTGAGAAATTCTATCTAAACTAAAAGCATTCTCTCATACAGCTTCTCTGAATACTTGCAGCACTGATACAACCTATGCTTACCACGTATCTTTTAAGTTGTCTCGTGATTGTTTCATGAGACTTTATCTTCTCTCCCCAACTATTCTACAAGCTCCTTGAGGATAGGAGTGAAGTCATTGGCTGCTTTTGTTCTTTTCCATCATGTCTAGCAAATACTTGGGTAAGTAATAGTCAATTCCAACTAAAGTCTAACTTTCTAAGCTATTGACATTTATGATAGAGAGATGTCAAGGCCTCCCTTTTTGACATGACTCACATAAGTAGGAGTTATATCAACATTTAATTAAATAGTATAAATCCCACTTTTTTTCCAGGTATGGCTTCACAAAAGAAGTCTTGAGTAAATACAAGGTAAGACTCATACTTTAAAACAAACTCTCTTTGCTGTCTATGTGGAGAAGTGAAAATGGAGCGAGCCTTCAGGAAGGGTGATGGGTGAACTAGTCGGAATCCATGCCAATAAAAGGAAGCCCTGGCCGTGGTAGAGGCTTAATTTTCTTCCTGGACTAAAGCAAGTTTTTTCATTGTGACTTTTGCAAATTTTAGCATAGAAACAACCTATTCCACTGTTTTAAAAGTACCTGGTACTTTTTTTACCCAGGTACGGTAAAACATGCAGAAATGAAAGTAGCTATCCTAAAGGAAGAGGTTTTTATTCACAGTTACCTGGAAATAGGAGGCACAGCACATCACATTGGGGGGCCACATGGGGAAGCACCTAGCTTGGCCAGAAGACAGAAGGAGTGAGAGGGAGTGTGTTTATTGTGGTTTCCTTGGGGAGAATTGGGAGAGACAGTGTAAGCATATTTAGGGTTTGGTAGTTTGAGTAATTTCAGCCCCATAAAAGAGGTGGTTGGGGGTGTGGGCTCTTGACTGATTGGTTTGCATATGAAAGGCAAGTCATTTACTATCTGTAAGAATGAGCTAGCCCTGGGAGGTACAGTCTCAGGGACTTCGAGGCTCCAAGATGTCAAAGTCTCAAAACTACAGACTAAAGAGACATGATTAATGCATGCTAGTGGGTTAGTGACTCCATGCTGACTTCGTTTGGGTGGCATGAAAGCTGATTTGCTTTTTGTCCATACGTTGAGACTACTCAATAAACTTGAACCCATCAGGAAAACTGATTCAAGCTCTTACTTACAGGTACATGGGGAAAAAATCTTAAAATTCTTGGAAGACGTTTTTGCCTGGCTGCCAGTCGGTACAATTATTGATGAAGAAATCCTGGTCACGCATGGTGGGATATCAGAGTCCACAGATTTGGTTTTACTCAATAATATAGAAAGAAACAAAGTAAGATGACTATTTATATGAATCTTGTCTCAGAGATTTATATGGGGATGTATAACTCTTATTTCCATGTATTATTTTGTATTCGTTTGTGCTTTAGTAGTTGTTGTAACTCTGAAAAGATTACTGCAAATTTTAGAAAATCTGTGATTGTATGATAAGTATATGGGTAACTTCTCTACATGGGAAATTTTAAAATTCATGATGAATGTGGGAAAATGAAGAAATTTTGGCATTTCATATGGTTTCTAAAAGTGAAAAATCCTGATTTAAAAAATTAAAGTCTCTAATTAATATTGTAGTAAAATATACATAACATAAATTTACCACTATAACCAATTTTAAATGTACAGTTTAGTGGCTTTAAATACATTCACATTGTAAATGGAATGGGAGTAAAAGGCAGAAAACTGTGCTTGAACAATGACTAAAATAAAATTAAAATAAAATATGAACTAAAAAAAAATACATTCACTATGTTATGCAGCCATCACCAAAATCATTACCATCCATTTCTCAAACTTGTTATCTTCCCAAACTGAAACTATATACCCATTAACACTAACTTCCCATTCCCCCTCCTCCACCTCTGCAACCACCCTTCTACTTTCTGTCTCTATGAATTTGAGTACTCTAGGTGCCTCATGTAGGTGGAATCATACAATACTTTATTTTTGAATTCATATTATTTCCCTTATAATATACTCTAAATGGCTCAGGGTAATATTTTTGGAAATATTTTTAAACCTAAGTAATCAATATATTAAATACAACAGAAATAGAGCAGGGACATGTATAAAACCTCTGAGGGAAGTGGTTGTGTGGGGCCTGTAAAGCTGTCACCCTTCATGAAAGCCTGCTTTGTCTGGGCTTTGCAGAATGACTGGAGGTATTTTCTTCCTATGCCAGCCAAGTATCCAGACCAGGGGCACAGGGGGTACCACGTGGGCATAAGAACCGATAGCAATTCTGGAGCCAGATGATCATATATGGTCCCAGTGAAAAACACGAACCCTTACCCCCCTCAGGACTGATAGTCAACTTTCAAGCAATCTAGGCAAGTGAAGTCTAGAGCTGGAATTTAATTTGATATAGACAGAAATGTGACCCCTATTCACCATGAGTTTTTGGAGTCCTTATACATTATTACACATGAATGATAATACTGTTGCTAACTTTTTGTGATCCTTTTAATTTCAGCTTAAATATACCCCTCTGCAAAGCCTTCCACAATGTGCAGGCTAGATCAAGTCCCCTTTTATGTGCTCTTAATCCCCTTATATATATCCTTCATACCAGTTACCAAAATTCAATAAGGAACTCTGATAGTGTTTGTTTACTCTCTACCCCTGCTTCTCTAGTTCACTGATATAATCCCAGAATCTAAGATGTAGTAAGTACATAATCGATGTTTATTGAATATCTCTTAAGAGATTTAAAACCAAAGCAAGGCAAATCTAAGACAAAACTGGATAAAAACTTTTTACAACCCTTTTCCTGATTCTGTGGTAATTTTGCATAGCTCCCTTCCAACCTCACCCATGAGGACCATACTTCCTGGTTTATACCTGTTGTGGTCCTGTGATTGTTAATAGCACCTCTCTTTACTCTTAAAAGTATTCCTGTTGCAATCAATTTTAACCATCCCTCTAAGTATCAGCAAATCATCAAGCCAATAAGTCATTTTGACCAATATGAGATAGTCAATGTTAGCATAATGAATGGATATGATTCTAGCCAAGAGCAATGGAACATGGTATTTTTGGCAGTCAAATATTGGCAAGCACACAGCAGGAATAGGACACTCTGCCACCACCTGTCCTATGACAATAGCACTGATCAGCCATGGTAGCCACTACCAATTTATCTGATTGAAATTTTTTCCTTTCCTGAGATTAGCCTGAGCAGGTTACCCTCTGGAGGGCTTTTTCAGATATTAAGATAATGTCTCTTGAATGTCCATTACTATCTCCATGGAGACCCTAGGTTGAGAGCCACCTTGACCTAGTAAACACCACAAGGCTCTGACATCAGACAGGTGTAGCTAGCTTTACATCCTGCTTCTGCCACTTCCTGGCTTGGTGAGTGGGCAAGGAACCAAAGTTTTCTAGGTCTCAGTTTCCATACCTATACATTGAAGCTAAAAACACCTTCCATATTGAATTGTTGGCAGGATTAAGTATAATTAACTAGATGAGGAAACCAGTGTAAAGTAAGCTCTGAACATAGAGCTTTCTTCTCCAACTCTCTCTTTTTTTTTTTTTGCTGATACTTGGGACTAAGGTTTGAATTTTAGTCACCAAAATGGACTGTGGGGAGAAGTTTGTGGGCCAGAAATTTTCTCAGGATACCTCAAATTTCATGTCCTTTGAGGAGCAATGTTCCACCTATTCATAAGATGGGTTGTAAAGATAGAAATTTGACCTAATATATATTTTTGTAGCTTCTACCCCTCCTAGAGTGAGGTGGAATTGATAGTACATAGTTGTCATATTAAATATAATTGAGCTGTAGTAGAAGTCATAGGTTCAAGCCTTTGGAACTCTACCAGATGAGATATAAAAGTAGATTTTCAAGTCCAACTTTATAACCCTTACTTTCCCATCCCTTAGGACCCTCCAAGTATAGGGTGACCATGCTCCCTGGTTTATACCTGTTGTGGCATAATTGCTAATAGGGGAGGGGGGGTCGGGTTGGGGGAACCTGTTGACAACTTCCATTCTAGGTTCATTAAAGACATTTTATAAGGTGGGCAGGTTGGGGGAAGGGGTCAATGCAGAGGGACAGAGAAGGAATACTCTATAAGATGAAGACTCTGCTTTAGCATTCTTCAAAGTCCCTGCCAGGAATTGGGTGCAGGGGGAGGGATGACTAGTAGGTCCTCCCGGAGAAAGTGGTGGTGTGGTGCCTTAGGAAAGGGCTGGGGCAAAATATCTTTATCCTGAGTGGCCTTGAAAACAGCAGAGCCACACATATTTGAGACCATGTTGACTCCCCCAATGAACTTATCAGAAGTTGTGTGCATGCAAGTCCAGAGTGTCTTCCCAGAATATTCTGTTCTGGGGACATTTGCTGGGGGCAGATGGGGAACATAGGCTGTGAACTCACCAATAATAGCTGATACTGAATTTCCAACCATTTCAATGAGACAGGGCCTCAGAATAAGGTTTGGTTTTATTTTTGAAAAATAAAGGTAAGATTTCATACACCCTAGTTTATAGAAGAAACTAAGGGCCTACCACAGAGAACTGTCTATCACTGAACTAAGGCTACCAATATAACAGAAGTATCACATGAAATTATTTTGTATAAGGGTAGAGTGCTACAAAGAAATAAGTGTAAAATTACAGTCTCAGGTAATGAAAGGGAATGTAAAAGGATTATAGTAATTGACATACTGTCAGAAAGACATTTTATTTTTCAAAGACATGCATCACTTTTGTTACTAGGATTAGAGAGTATCACCAGTTGCTGGCAGGGTCAGATTGAGACCACATTGCATTTAAGTTGAAGGGCTTCCAAAGTTTTCAAATTATGTCCCCTTTGAGAGCTTTCCTCGATGCACGTGTAACTTTTTCTCACTTCTCCAGCAAAACACAACAAAATAAAAAGCAGCCACTCCTGAAGTGGTTCTGAAATCAAAGCCTATTGGTTCTCTCTTAGCCCCATATACAAAGGCTCACAGGGAGACAGTTTTCCCTTAGCACTTTCCATTTCCTGTGATAATGGCGTCTAACATTTTGGCCTCTCTGAGCCACACTGGAAGAAGAGCTGTATTGGGCCACACATTAAATATACAAACACTAATGAGACTGATGAGCCAAAAAAAAAGGTTTTATTTTCTTTATTTTTATTTTTTAAGTACATTTTATTGATTATGGTATTACAGCCATCCCATTTTTTTCTCCACTTTCTCCCCCTCTGCCCTGTACTCCCTCCCATCAGCATTCCCCCCACCTTTAGTTCATGTCCATGGGTCATTACATATAAGCTCTTTGGCATCTGTATTTCCTGTACTATTCTTAACCTCCCCCTGTCTATTTTCCACTTACCAATTATGCTTCATATTCCCTCTATCTTGTCCCTCATTCTCCCCCCTCCCCTCCCCACTGATAACCCTCCATGTGATCTCCATTTCTGCGATTCTGTTCCTGTTCTAATTGTTTGCTTAGTTTTTGCTTTTATTTTTTAGGTTCAGTTTTTGATAGTTGTGATTGTGTTGTCATTTTACTGTTTATAGTTTTGATCTTTTTCTTAGATAAATCCCTTTAATATTATATATAATAAGGGCAAAAAAAGGTTTTAAGTAAATTTACGATTTTGTGTTGGGCCACATTCATAGACATCCTGGGCCGCATGTGGTCTACAGGCCACGGGTTGGACACCCCTGCCTCAGAGCATGTCTAGCAGTGACATCTGTGCTTCTAGGGTCCTTTAGAAACTCTAATGGGAAACTTTCCCTACAGGGCAATGTTTCTATTTGAAAAATGTGCAAACAGAATTGAACAGGCCCACTTCCTAGAGATCAATGGTCACTAAGATAAAGGAGGTGGGTACAATGGAAAAGATGACCATGTGTTTTTCATTGGGTTGAGGCACAAAAAAGTATAGACAGAATAGCAACAGGTATTGAAGTTTCTGTGTGCAGCACACCAAGCATAGGATTTGACTAAAGCATGAATTTGTTTTGTAGCTGAAATCTGTGTTGATGCCACCAGTTCCATTGGATAGAAGCAACCCTGCTGAAATGAGGAGACATAGAGGACGTCCTCCACCAGTGGGAATCAAAATGACTGGACCCCCTTCTCAGTATTTAACAAAGTATGAGTGGGAACAGGTGGGTAATCCAACTGTTCACCAAAGTGGCAAAGAAGACATCGCACAGATGATGATGTCCCTTACAATGTAGAGATAAAAAGCGACTTAGCCTTATAAGCGGATCATATCCTTCTCTCTGAATTCATCACTGTATTTTAATAGCTTTATTGATATATAATCTGCATATCACATAATGTACTTATTTAAAGTTCATTGTTTTTTTAGTATATTCACAGTGTGGTGCAGCTGTCACTACAATCTAATTTTAGAACGTGTTCATCACCTAATAAAGAAACTCCATGCCTATTATCAGTCATTCCCCATTTCCACCCCACCCCCCACTCTCCTCTTCCCCCCCGCATCCCTGCTCCCCTCAGCCTCAGGCAACCACTAATCTACTTTTGGTCTTCATAGATTTGCCTTTTCTGGACATGTTACAGTATGTGGTCTTTTGTGTTTGGCTTCTTTTACTTTGCCAGAGTAACAAGTATTTTTGCTTTGTGCTTTTGGTATTGTATCTAAGAAGCCATTGCCTAACCCAGTGTCATGAAGATTTATTCCTATGTTTTCTTTTAAGAGTTTTATGGTTTTAGCTCTTATATTTAGGTGTCTAATCCATTTTGAGTTATGAGGTAGGTTTCCAAATTCATTCTATTGCATGCGGATATCCAGTTATCCCAGCACCATTTGTTAAAAAGACTATTCTTACTGAATTTTCATGGCACCCTCACCAAAAATCAATTGGCCATAGATATGAAGGTTTATTTCTAGATTTTTAATTCTATTCCATAATCTATATGTCTTTCCTTACATCAGTACTACATAGTTTTGATTACTGTAGCTTTTTTAAAAAGATTTTATTTATTTATTTTTAGAGAGGGAAGGGAGGGAGGGAGAGAGAGAGAAAGAAACATCAATGTGCGGTTGCTGGGGGTCATGGCCTGCAACCCAGGCATGTGCCCTGACTGGGAATCGAACCTGCGACACTTTGGTTAGCAGCCCGCGCTCAGTCCACTGAGCTACACCAGCCAGGGCTTGATTACTGTAGCTTTGTACAAAGTTTTGAAACTGAAAGTGTGAGTTCTCCGCATTTTTTCTTCTTTTTCAAGATTTTTTTGACTATTCTGGGTCCCTTAAATTTTCCATATGAATTTTAGGATCAGCTTGTTAATTTCTACCAAAAACCAGCTGGGATTTTGGTAAGGATGGACTTGAACCTATGGATCAATTTGGGTACTATTGCAGTTTTAAAAATATTATGTCTTCAACTCCATGAACATGGAATGTCTTTCCATTCATTTAGATCTTTAATGTCAACAGTGTTTTGTAATCATGTATATTGAGTTACTTGTTTTGTTAAGGTTATTCCTAACTTATTCCTAAGTATTTTCAATATTATTGTAACTAGAATTGCTTTCTTAATTACATTTTGGGTTGTTCATTGCCAGTATATCGAAATACAGTTGATTTTTATGTACTGATCTCATGTAGGGAACCTTGATAAACTTGTTTATTCATTCTGATGGTTTTAGTGGATTCCTTGGGACTTTCTATGTACAACTGCACATTATCTGTGAACAGAGATGATTTTGCCTCTTTCTTTCCAATTGGGTTGCCTTTTATGTCTTTTTCTTAGTAGCCCTGTCTAGAGCCTCCAGTGCAGTGATGAATAGAAGTGGTGAGAGCAGACATTCTTGTTTTATTCCTGATATTACAGGGAAGCATTTAGCCTTTCACCATTAAGTATATTAGCGGTTTCTTTGTATTGTAGCTGCCCTTCATCAGATTGAGGAAGTTTCTTTCTGTGCTTACTGTGTTGAGTGTTTTTATCACAAAAGAGTATTGGGTTTTGTCAAATGCTTTTGTTGTATCTATTAAGGTGATCATGTGGTATTTGTCTTTTATTCTATTAAATATGTTGTATTACATTGATTGATTTCAGATGTTAAACAAACCTTAAATTCCTGGTATAAATTCCACTTGGTCCTGTATAATCCATTTTATGTGTTGCTGGCTTCAGTTTGCTAATATATTTTTAGGATTTTTATATTTATATTCATAAGGAATATTGGTCTGTAGTTTTCTTTTCTTGGGATGCCTTTGGTATTAATGTAAGATATGTAAGATTGGCATCATAGGATGAGTTGGGAAGTATTATATACTCTTCTGTTTTGGGGAGGAGTTTATGAATTAATTATATTAAACATTCTTCAAATGTTTGGTAGAATGAAGCCATCTGAGTCCAGGCTTTTCTTCATAGCAAGTTTTAAAATTATTAACTTAATCATCTGTCTTACTATAGCAGTTCTATTCAGATTTTTTATTTCTTTTTGAGTAGTTTGCATCTTGGTAGTCTTGATAGTCTGTCTTCCTTTGGAATTTTTCCATTTCATTTAATTTATCTAATTTGTTGACCTATATTTGTAGAATACACACACACACACAAACACACAGGATGGGCAAAAGTAGGTTTATACTTGTGAGTATCGAAACAGCTTAGTTTTGTATTGTTATTTATTAATTTGTATTTTTCCATACGATCATCTGTCTGTATGTGTGTATTTTTTTTTTGGTAAGGTCCCCAAAGTGATGGTCCCCTCTTTCATTTCTGATTTTAGTAATTTGAGTCTATTTTGTTCTCTTGGTCAATCCCACTGAAGTTTGTCAATTTTATTGATCTTTTCAAAGAGCCAACTTTTGGTTTTACTGACTTTTCTCTAATGTATTCTATGTTATCCTTATTTATTTTAGCTCTAACCTTTATTACTTCCCTTCTTCTGCTTTTAGATTTAGTTTGCCTTTCTTTTTCTAGTTTCCTAAGGTGAAAAGTAATGTCACTGATTTGAATTTTTTTCCCTCTTTTAAATGAAGTTATAAATTTCCCTGTACACACTGCTTTAGTTCCATCCCAAAAGTTTTGCTATGTTGTGCTTTCGTTTGCATTCATCTCAAACTATTTTCTAATTTCCCTTGGAATTTTTTTTTACTTCATAATGTTATTTAGGAGTGTGTTGTTTAATTTCTGCATATTTCTTTATTTAAAGATTTTATTTATTTATTTTTAGAGACGCAAGGGAGGGAGATAGAGAGAGAGAGAAACATCAATGTGCGGTTGCTGGGTGTTATGGCCTGCAACCCAGACATGTGCCCTGACTGGGAATCGAACCTGCGATGCTTTGGTTCGCAGCCCACACTCAATCCACTAAGCTACGCCAGCCAGGGCTTAATTTTTGCATATTTCTTAATTTCTGCATATTTCTTAATTTCTCATATTTCCTTCTCTCATTGATTTCTACTTGAATTCAATTGTGGTTGGTGAACATACTTTGCATAAGATTTAAATCCTTTTAAACCAGATTGAGGCTTTTTTGTGGCCCAGCATATGGTCTGTCTTGGAGAATGCTTCATGTGCTCTGGAGAAGAAAGTATATTCTGTTCTTGTTGAGTGGAGTATTTTATATATCTGTCTTTGAACATATTTGTAACAGTTGCTTTGAAATTTGTCTGCTAAATTAATACCTAATCTTCTCAAAGGCGATTTCTATTGCCTGCTTGTTTTTCCCTGTGGTTTTGTGTGTGTGTGTGTGTGTGTGTGTGTGTGTGTGTGTGTGTCTTGCAATTTTTGGTTGAAAGCTGAACATTCTAGGTAATATGTCATAGTACTCTAGATAGTTATCCCCATGCTCCTCTGGGGCTTGTTCTGATTTGCTTGTTTGCTCATTTATTTGTTTAGTGGCTTGTCTGGACTATTTCAGTGAAGTCTATTCCTTCTCTGTGTAGCCTCTGGTGTCACTCCTCACAAAGTGCTGCTGCCTTGGGCATGCACACAGTTTGCCTGACTACCAGGGACAGTTGTACTTTTAGGTGGGCTCTCTTTGACTCTCTTTTTCCCTGGTTTCCTCTGTAAGCTTTGGCCGATCAGCCTCTATGTGCATCAGACCCAGCTGTTACTTCACTAATTGCTATTGTTTTTAACAGTGCCCTGGGGCTTCACAATCTGATCCCATTAAAGCTGGACTCCTTTGCAGGGGCAGGGTATTGACAATCTTTGAGGCTTATTCTGACCCCAAGAGGGCTATTCTCATCTGTTACTTTCCCTGATTCTGTCTGTTAAACTTCTAGCTGGGCTACTCTTGCTACCGGTATCATGGTACTACCACCTTTCTTGTAATTGCTCACCCCCAATAAGCCTCTATTTCTTTTAATTAATTAATTAATTTTTAGAGAGAGGGGATAGGAGAGAGAAAGAGAGGGAGAGAAACATCAATGTGAAAACAAACATCGATTGGTTGCCTCTTGTACACATCCTGACTTCTTGTACATGGCAACCCAGGCATGTGCCCTGACCAGGAATTGAACCAGCCACCTTTTGCTTTGTGGGATGACACCCAACCAACTGAGCCACACTGGTCAGGGAAAACCTCTATTTCTTGATTCCATACTCTTATACCTTGATTGCTGAAAATGTTGACTAAAATGTGATTTCTGATGTAAAGTATACTCTAATCAATGAGGAAAAGAGAGAAAGAGAGGTAGGGCGATAGGGAGGGAGGAGGGGTAGTAAGAGAGAAATAGGATTTGTCACTGGCTTGTGCATCCAAAGTATTTAAAAATCAACTAGGTCTAAGAGATATCCTATAGCAATCAGGGAAGGGTACTTTCTTAAATTGGGACATCTAAATTCCAAAGACCAAAGGTTAGATAGGATAAGTACTTCTAGGATTATGGTGAATAAAAAGGATCAGGCTGAAGAGATTAGAATTGCATAAAAAGAATATCTTGGCCTCTGGAAACCTACATGAATTAGAATTATGGATATATATAGCCTTAAGAAGTGATACAGAGAGACTGGGAGTCATTATTCTATAATAGAACCTCCTCCTGTCCCAATAATATAGATGAGGTAGCTTACAGACTCTTAAGTCTGTGACTGGAGCTGACACAGGGTAAAATAGACCAGAATCTCATTCCCAATATTTTAATAATTTCACTTGTACCTTTAATTTTCTTTCCTCCATTCCTGGTACACAGTGGATGTGTACACTTGAGTTACCTACAATGATACTTATTTGTATTGAATTCCATTGTTGGAATTCAGTGGGGGAGAAGGGAGAAACTTTGGGTGATTTTAATTCCCACTTCAGTCTATCATCAAAAACTCTGCAAAAGTCTGGAATGTGTCTGATTCAGGGTTTCTCCAGTTATGACCAGGTGCCTATCGTTCCAGAGTAATTCTCCAACCAGTTCTGTTCTTCTTTCCACCTCACTGCCTTCTCCCTCACTGAATTTTAGCTCCCCTTCAATGCCAAACCTATAAATAGCTATACAATCATAGTTATTGGGACAACCACTTCTGGTCCTCTTCTTAAGACCCACTGGAATAACTCTACAACTTAAAATGCATGGTTCTCCATGCCTTCATAGAAACACGTGGAAAATATGGACTCTTAGAATTATAGTTTGTTAGAACTTTGAGATTCTTTACAACTCATGTAGCCCAAAGCCCTGATTTTAAAGATCTGAGACCCAGAAAGTTTTCTCAAAGTTGCACATCTTTAGTGACTAAGTTAGTTTTTCTCACTACTGCTTTGAGCTCCTGTAGGGAAGGGTCTACTTAAAGAACAAGTATAAATGACCAACGGACGTGGGCAACAGGGTGGGGATTGACTGTGGGAGCAGTGGAGGGGTGGGTGGGGCAGGGGAGAGCAACAAGGGAAAATTGGGACAACTGTAATAGAACAATAATAAAAAAAAGTAAAAGAATATGCAGAAAATTTAACAAAAGAAACATTATACATAGATTAGAGCTGTAAACAGGGAGCCCCCAATTTTCTATTAAAAATATTCTTAGATCCCTGGCTGGCATAGCTCAGTGGTTTGAGCACGGGCTGCGAACCAAAGTGTCGCAGGTTTGATTCCCAGTCAGGGTACATGCCAGGGTTGCAGGCCATGGCCCCCAGCAACCGCACATTCATGTTTCTCTGTGTCTTTCTCCCTCCCTTCCCTCTCTAAAAATAAATAAATAAATCTTTTAAAAAATATTCTTAGAAACTTTGGTCCTGGGCATCGTGTGGCCTACATTTGCCTATTTCAGCCCAAAAGGTAATATTATGCTAATAAAATACTTGGAGATTTAGGAGAACACGTTGTGGAAATCAATCAGTGTATCACTGAAAGTGAGATGTACTTATGAAGAGGGCATAAAGTGAAGGAGATATCTTAAGAGGTATTCCGGGATGAGCAGTTGTCTATAGTGGTGATGGGAAAAGGGCTTCCTCGTGTTATATACTCAGCAAGACAAACACCAGGCCAAAGGCACAACTGAAAGGCCTACCTTATCTCTATGGACATATTAAGAACACCTAATATGTGTTCATTGTAGGGAGACTACTTTCTCCTTTGAACATGACAATGAAGTTCTTTTAAGCAAAAAGACCTTTGTATATTCAGCAATTGTACAACAGTTGTGATGGATTTTTTTTTTCTAAAAAGCTGTTAACCAATGTCACCCCAATAAATTCAAGAAAGAGAAAAAAAGCCAATGGCTGATTCTTCATGATTACTAAGTACTGCTACATTAGTTATTGTTTTTTTTAATGTCTATAGATTGTATAAAATAACTTTATTCATTCACATACATGAAAGCATTTATTTTTCTTATTGTTGTTCAGTTACAGTTGTCCCCATTTTTACCCAATTACTCTCCCCTGCCCTATCACCCCCACCTCCCACCCTTAATCTTACCCCCCTTTGGCTTTGTCCATGGGTTCTTTATCCATGTTCCTTGACAACCCTTCCCTTTCTTTCCCCCATTATCTTCCACATCCCATCCCTTTGATTACTGTCAATTTGTTCTTTATTTCAATATCTCTGGTTATATTTTGCTTGCTTATTCATTTTATTGATTAGGCTCCACTTATAGGTGAGATCATACGGTATTTGTCTTTCATAGCCTGGCTTATTTCACTTAGCATAATGCTCTCCATATCTAGCCAAGCTGTTGCAAAGGATAGGAGCTCTCTCTTTCTGCTGTGTCCTATTCCATCACATAAATGTACCATAGTTTTTTGATCCACTCATTTACTGATGGGCACTTAGGTTGCTTCTAGCACTTGGCTATTATAAATTGTGCTGCTATGAACATTGGGGTGCATAGGTTCTTTTGAATTGGCGTTTCAGGGTTCTTAGATATTATCCCAGCAGTGGAATTGCTGGGTCAAATGGCAGCTTTATTTTTAGTTTTTTGAGGAAATTCCGCACCGTTTCCCACAGTGGCTGTACCAGTCTGCATCCCCACCAACAGCGCACTAGGGTTTCCTTTTCTCTACAGTCTCGCCAGCACTTGTTGTTTGTTGATTTGGTTATGATGGTCATTCTGACCAGTGTGAAGTGGTATCTCACTGTGGTTTTAATTTGCATCTCTATGCTGGCTAGTGATGCCGAGCATCCTTTTATATATCTCTGGCCCCTCTGTATGTCCTTGGAGAAGTGTCTGTTCAGGTCCTTTGCCATTTTTTAATTGGATTGTTTGTCTTCCTGATGTGGAGTAGTGTGAGTTCTTTATTTATTTTAAAAATCAAACCCTTGTCCGAGGTAATATGGGTAAATATCTTTTCCCATACGGTTGGTTCCCCTTTCATTTTGCTGATATTTTCTTTAGCAGTGCAGAAGCTTTTAAATTTGATGTAGTTCCATTTGTTTATTCTTTCCTTTATGTCCTTTTGCTCTAGGGGACATAATGGTAAAAATATTGCTGTGTGGAATATCTGAAATTTTCTTGCCTGTGTTCTCCTCTAGGACTTTGATGGTGTCACAACTTACATTCATCTTTCATCCATCTTGAGTTTATTTTTGTGTGTGGTATGACTTGGTGGTCGGGTTTCATTTTTTTGCATGTAGCTATCCAGTTCTCCCAACACCATTTGTTGCAGTGGCTATTTTTACTCCATCTTATGCTTCTGCCCCCTTTGTTGCATATTAATTGACCATAGAGACTTGGGTTTATATCTAGACTCTCTGTTCTGTTCCATTGATCTATGTGTCTGTTCTTATGCCAGTACCAGGTCCTACATTAGTCACTGTCATTGCAACATTGGTTATTGGGGATTAGCAGAAAGGGATTGTGGTGGCTATGGGCATTAAAATTATTATGAAAAAGATTCATGGGAATCTTGATTCAAGGGAAGATTCAAGGGAAACATGAAACAATTTTGAAAGAGTAATGAGAAACAGCGAGACTTTGGGATAATATGGGTTAATATTTCTGGAAAAGAAGTTGGAATCTAGAAAGATAAACTGTTATTTGCAAGCAGCTGCCTAATCTGCTTTGTTGTTTCAAGGTCACCGATGTTCTGTGGAGTGATCCTAGGGAGAAACGAGGCTGCTATCCAAACACATGCCGAGGAGGGGGCTGCTATTTTGGGCCAGATGTTACCGTCAAATTTCTTAGGAAACACCGCTTGAAACTGCTCATTAGGTCTCACGAATGTAAGCCCGATGGGTATGAACTCTGCCACGAAGGGAAGGTAAGCTAACATTGTTGGTGACATCATCACAGACATCTTTCCCCCCAGCACAGTCTTTCTTTACAGGAGATGTGTCTCACTTAGAGGCTCATGGGAAGATGTCTTCCCTAGTACCAGAAAAAGAAGGCCTTGCTTTGGTAGACAGAAACAGGAGACTGTATGGTTCACATAAGTTGTTGGAACGGGCCTCTCTGTCCCACATCCTAAGGGATTTTCGGTTTATTTCCCTAAATTTCCCTAATCTGAAAGATTGAAACTCTACATGCAACACTAAGTATGGACACAGAAAGGCTTTTACTAACCACAAGGCAACTTTCCAGTACCATGGGATTGAGAATGTCCTTAAACTCACTGAGCACATAAAAGAGAGCAGTGAATCCAGTTTGATCTCTTTCACCTTCTCACAGTCCTGGTGCAGGGCAGAGCAACAAAACACACTTCCCTGCTACTCACTGAGTAGGTAAGCTCTAGAAAGTCGCTCTCTGTGGTCAGCTTAGCTGCACCCACTAAAATGGAGTATGTTGTGCTCCTGCAGTGGTGTGTGATAAGGCTACAAGACGTGAGGACTGAGGAACTGGTTTCTCATCCCAAGTTTCCCTGGAATGTCCCTTTTTCTAACCCTGAACAGTGATAAACACAAAACAGTACTAAATGCATGGCATTTCCTTCTATTTCAACTTTGACTTTTCTAAAATCTGTTAGTTCATTTGTGCCTCGTGCTAATAATTGCACAATGGTTAAGACAAGTATTTAATAGGGTTTCTTTGTAATAAGAAAATGGAGAGAAAATACCAGTGTCTTGTCTGAAGTGGCATGCTCATTAAGGCAGGACTTGGCTTAAGCCAGGTTTCCTGTCACTGACAAATATTACCCACCTATTTTCTACCACAGCCCCAAGACTGGTTGGTTCCCTCCCAACAGAGTGGTCGTGGTCCCTTATTTTAGCCCCTATTTCTTTGCCCTTAAAGCACAGGTTTTGGGGGAGGGGGGGCTGAGCCCTCTAAATCATTCAGCTCAAAGCAAAAGAAGAAGACTGTGATACTAGACAAGTTTTATTTCGAATGCTCAAATATTACAGGGAAAGAAAATAAAGACTTTATGCCCTTAGAAAATCAGAATTTGCAAAACCGAGCATTAAGGGGGATTTTAAGATATGGACCTAAAATTGTACACAGGATTGCAAGACCAACAACTGTGGGGATGAGGGCTAGAAGTCAGTACTTCTGGGGAAACTGATTTAAAAGCCTTGTTTCTCTCTGATGGAATCACAGGAAATCTTGTTAGACTTTAGATTTGGAACTTTGATTTTTGCTTTTTTTTAAAGACTTGAGCTATTTCTGACTTTATTGAAGGACATTTTGAGAACTAATTCTATGTGAATCTGCCCTCTTTCTGTTTAATCAGGTCATTACAGTATTTTCTGCTTCTAATTATTATGAAGAAGGCAGCAATCGAGGAGCTTACATCAGGGTGGGATTTCGTTCGACCCTCCAGTTCTTCCAGTACCAAGTAACAAAGGCAACATGCCTCAGTCCTCTTTACCGAAGGTGTGTATCCTGTGAGCCTTAGAGCAGGGGTGTCAACCTCATTTTCACCGGGGGCCACATCAGCCTTGCTGTTGCCTTCAAAGGGCCAAATGTAATTTTAGGACTGTATAAATGTAATTGCTCCTTAACCAGGGACAAGGAGCTCAGCATTGCTGCCAGGTAGAAACAAGGTGGAGGGCCGGATTCGACCTGCAGGCCTTGTGTTTGCCACCTGTGCCTTAGAGTCAAAGAGGAATTTGGAACCCCAATACTGTGACCAAGTAGAACCAATCTAGAATGACTAAGAGCAGCCACAAGAGTGAAGACAACTACTTATTGGTTACTCATTGGTATAAACTAAATGGAAATAGTTCCAGACACCAAGTAGCAAATATACTCATTTTTGACACCAAGAGCAGCGATTTTTAATTCATACATCTCTTTAGGTGAATAAAGTAGTCGACATCCGCAAACAGTCCTTAATTGAATATAAAGAAAAGAAGGTCCCCACACCCACCCAGCCCCGTAACCTACAGCCTTCTCTGCACAGACCCCGCATAAGAGCCCAGTCAGTCTGGTCTGACTTTGTCTCTTCTCTACCCAGAAATGTATGTGACAAAAGGGTTGTGTGTGTTTCTCTGTGTGATGGTGTTCATAGTTTGTCTTCTCTTTCTCCTTTAACATTATCTTTTAAGATTTTTCATTACAAAATGAATATATTTATAGTTAACAAGTAAGGCCAAAACTGATGTATAAATAAAATGTTAATAATCTTCTCTCCTACTTCTCAATAATCCTTTCCCCCATACGCAACTGAAATTAATAACCTGGCGTGGACCCTTCCACCCTCTTCTCCTTGCTCATATAAAGATAGACAAGCAGTTATTCATTGAATGAAAAAGTTGAGCATTTAGTATGTGTCTGACACTGTTTTAGGCACAGGTGATACAGTAATAACCAAAATGGGCAAAAGTCCTTTCCCTCATTAAATGCATATCCCAGTAAGAGGAGAGAGTCAGAGACCACCACACACACATTTTTTTTACAAAGACATAGAGTCACACTGCACCCTGTATTCTGCAAGTGACTTTTCTCCTAGAGATTCTATCATGATAGTATATATAGACCTGATTCATTCTTTTTTCTTTTCAAATTCTCACCCAAGAACATGATTTTCATTTTAGAGAGTGGGGAAGGGAGGGAGAAGGAGAGAAGTATCAATGTGAGAGAGAAACATTGATCAGTTGCCTCTCTTATGCACCCCAACCAGGGACTGAACCCGCAACCTAGGCATGTGCCCTGACTGGGAATTGAGCCTGTGATCCTTTGGTTTATGGGAAGACACTCCAACCAACTGAGCCACACCAGCCAGGGCCTAATTCATTCTTTTCAATAGATATATTCTGTAGTGTACATATGTAGTGTACAAATTGAATCTTAGTCAATTCATGGCCATCCAGATTGGTTCCAGGGTTTTACACTTAAAAACAATACTATAACAAACATTTCTCTCTGTGTGTATACATATATATATGTAAGTTTTTAGTGCTGCTGTAAGATTTCAAAATATGAGATTTATGAATTTATATGTTTAAAATTTTGCTAGATACTCTAAGAGATGTAACAATCTGAAAAATAACATACCATTTTCTTCACATCCTCATTAGTTTCAGATATTATTACCCTATTCTTAATTTTTGCCAAGCTGATAGATAAAAATGGTAAATCTTAATGTTTTAATTAGGATATTTTAGACAGCTGAGTTTACACATTTTATGTTTTTGGAAATTGAATGTTTTTTTTTAATTTCCTATGTATATTATTCCCCCATTTTATATTATTGCATTGTAAGGGTTCTTTATGTATCCTATGTACATGCCACTTATTAGATATAGGACTTGTAAATAGTCTCTCCCATTTTGTGGGCTGTATTTTTTCTTTCTTGATGGTATTATTTATGGAGAAAACATTTTTAATATTTGTTAAATCCAGTATATCTATTTTTTCTTTTTTGCTTGTGCTTTTGATGTTGAATATAAGAGGCCATTGTGTAACCCCAAATATACCCCTATGTTTTCTTCTAAGAAATTTATTGAGTAAGCTTTTACAGTCAAGTGTTTGATCCATTTTGAGTTAATTTTTGTGCATGGTGGGAGATAGGGGTCCAACTTCATTCTTTTACTTGTGGACATTCAGTTGTCCCAGCACCATCAATTAGGAAGACTCTCTTTCCCCCATGTGATTGTCTTGTCACCCTGTCAAAAATAAATTGACCATAAAGGTATAGGTTTATTTGTGGACATTTAATTTTATCCCATTGATTTATATCTCTATCCTAATACAGGTTTTGAAATGGGAAATGTGAGTCAAACTTGATTCTTCTTTTTTGAGATAATTTTGGTTATTATGGGTCCCTGGCATTTCCTATGATTTTTAGAATCAGCTTGTCACCTTCTGCAAGAAATGCCAACTGGGATTTTGATAGAGATTACTTTGAATGTCTAGATCAATTTGGTGGCTATTGCCAGCTTAACAGTATTAAATCTTCCAAGTCCTATTGTTCTATTTATTTGGATCTTTTTTAATTTCCCTGAACAATGTTTTGTGCTTTTCAGTGTACAAGCCTTAGACGTTTTTTATTAAATTCATTTCTAAATATTTTATTTTCTTTGAGTTTTTTAAATTACATTTTTGGATTGCTCATTTTTAGTCTATAGAAATAAAATTTATTTTTGTGTGTTGTGCAATCTTGATGAAATTCTTCATTAGTTCTAATAATTTTTAGTGGATTCCTTGGAATTTTTAATATACAAGATCATATTATCTGTGAATGAAGATAATTTTACCTCTTCTTTTTCAACTGGATGCTTTTATTTATTTATTTTTTCTTGATTAATTGCACTGCCTAGAACCTCCAAACCAATGTTGAGTAGAAGTGCTGGGAGCGGATATCTTTGTCTTGTTCCTGATCTTAAGAGGAAACCATTCAGTCTTTCACCATTAAGTATATTAGCTGTGTGGGTTTTGTAGATGCCCCTTATCAGGTTGAGGAAGTTCCCTTCTATGCCTAGTTTGTTGAGTGTTTTTATCATGAAAAATTTAATTGGATTTTTGTCAAATATATCTTCTGCAGCTATCAAGATGATCATGTGGTTTTTGTCTTTTATTCTATTAATTTGGTAGATTACAATGATTAATTTCAGATGTTAAACCTTCTCTTCCTGGGATAAATCCCACTTGTTCATGGTGTGTAATCATGTTTTTATATGTTGCTGAATGCAGTTTGCTAGTACTTTGTTGAGGATTTTCTTTCTATATTTATAAGAGATATTGGTCTGTAGTTTTCTTGCAATCTTTGGTTTTGCTATCAGGGTAATGCTGGCTATGTCATATAATAAGGTGGGTAGTAGTCCTACCTTTTCTATTTTTTGGAAAAATTTATGAATGATTAGTATTAATTCTTTTTTGAAATGTTTGATCGAATTCACCAGTGAAGCCATCTGGCCTTGAGTTTCTTGTTTGTTTTCTTTTTTGTGATAAGTTGTATGGTTACTTAGTCATACTTTTTACTTGTTCCAGGTATGTTCGGTTTGTTTTTTAAAAAGATTTCTTCTTAGTCAATTTTGCTAGTTTGTCTTTATAGAAATTTGACCATTTTATCTGGTGTATCTAATTTGTTAGTATGTAATTATCCATAATATTTCCTTATAATTCTTTTTATTTCTGTAAGGCCAGTTGTGATGACCTCTCATCCTTGATTTTAGAAATTTGAGTCTTCCTTTTTTATTTCTTAGCCACTCCAGCTAAAGGTTTGTCAGTTTTATTGATCTTTTCAAAAAACCAATTTTTGGTGTTGCTGATTTTCTCTATTGTTTTTCTGATCTCTATTTCATTTATTTCTCCTCTGTTCTTTGTTACTTGCATCCTTCTGCTTGCTTTAGGTTTTAGTTTTTGAAGGTAGACATCATGTAATTAATTTGAGATCTTTTTTAATGTAGGCATTTATAGTTATAAATTTTCCTCTAAGCACTGCTTTAGTGGCATCTCATAATTTGGCATGTTGTGTTTTAATTTTTATTTACCTTGTAGTCTTTTCTAGGTTCTCTTGTTATTTTTTTCCCTGGCCCATTGGTTATTTAGGATTGTATTGTTTAATTTCCTCATATTTGTGGTTTTTCCAAGTTTCCTTGCTATTAATCTCTGAGTTTTTGTAGTCTACAAAGATACTTTGTGTGGTTTTAATCATTTAAAATCTTTTGAGGCTTATGTTATGGCCTAATATGAGGTCTGTTGTGGAAAGTGTTCTGTATGTGCTTTAGCAGAATGTACACTCTTCCTGTTGTTGGATGGACTGTTTTTTTGTATACATATCTGTTAGATCTAGTTGGTTTATAAGAGCAGTTAAATCTTTTATATCCTTTTTGATTTTCCTTTTATATCCAGGTAGCTTAGTTGGTTACAGCATCATCTCCATATGCCAAGGTTGTGGGTTAGATTCCTGGTCAGGGCACATACAAATTCAAGCACAGCCCCTGGCTGGTGTGGCTCAATGGATTAAGTGCCAGCCTGTGAACCAAAAGGTCACAGGTTTGATTCCCAGTCAGGGCACATGCCTGGGTTGCAGTCTGGGTCCCCAGATTGGGGTGTGCAAGAGGCAACCACACATTGATGTTTCTCTCTCTCTCTCTTTCTCCCTCCCTTCCCCTCTTTCTAAAAATAAATAAATAAATAAATAAATAAATCTCTAAAAACAGAGAATCAGGCACTGAATACATAAATAAGTAGAACAACAAATCAATGTCTCTCTCTCCCCTCCTCCCTCCCTGTATCACCTCCTAATCAATAAAATAAAAAAAATTTTAGTGAAAGCAATAAAAAAAAGAAAGGAGGGTATTGATACCCCCAACTATTACTGTTGAGTTCTCTATTTCTCCCTTCAATTCTGTCAGTTTTTGCTTCATGTAGTTTTGGGCTCTGTTGTTAGGTTCATATATGTTTATAGTTGCTTTATCTTCTTTGGCTGATTGGTTCTTTTATCATAAAATATTCCTCTTTATCACTAATAACAGCTTTTGTTGTAAAATCTCTTCTGTCTACTATTAGTATAGCTACTCTACTTCTCTAGAATTGTTGTTTGCATGGTGTATCTTTGTCCTTTTTTTCCAAATTCTCTGTATCCTTGAAACTAAAGTGTATGCCTTGTAGACAACATGTAGTTGAATCTTGTTTTTTTTTTTAAATTCAGTCTTATAATGTGGGTTTTTTATTTAATCCATTCACATATGGTGTTCATATCCATATGACTGGACTTAATCTGCCATTTTGCTTTTTGGGGGGGATATATGACTCATGACAACTTTGTTTCTTTGTTTCTCATTTATTTGGAATTTATTTTTTAAATGGTCTGGGGTAGAAGTTTAGCTTTCAGTCAGTTAACTATGCTAGCACCATTTTTTTTCAATTGTCCTTTCTACTGAATTGTCATACCTCCTTTGTCATACATACCTCCTTTGTTATACATATGCATATATAGTTCACTATATTTGTGAAATTTCTATTTTGCTTATGTATCCTCTCTTGTGTCAATACCAGCTTGTTTTGTTTCAGTAACTGTATGGTAAATTTCATTATCTGCTATATAGCAAGTCCCCTCTTTATTTTCCTTTTTTCAAAATTGTCTTGGATATTTTCAGACACCAATTGTACATGTGATTCTTTGAAATCAAAAAGAAAACACTAGTGGTAATCCTTTTAAAATTTCACAAAACATGCATGAACATACATACATATACACACATTCACCACTTAGTAACATGGTATGTATGAAGTTAGGGAATTCATTTAAAGTAGAAACTAGTGAGTGGTAACATAACACATTAAAATGAGACAGAACAGAATTATTTATGTAATTTCTGCCTAATAATTGTCTTCTTAATATAGGGTGCACACTATCGAATGTAGTGCCATTAAGATATTAAGGGAGAGAATGATTGCACGAAAAACTGACCTTGTTAATGTTTTCCAACATCAAGACCGTAAGAAAACAGGTAATAAAATTATATAATCCTTATCACTTCTTAACATAGCAGGTTACATCCAGACCAGTCCTGCCTTCCTTCCTTCCTTCTTTCCTTTTGTTCTTTTCTCTTTTCTCTCTTTTCTTTCTTCCTTCCTTCCTCCCTCCCTCCCTCCCTTTCTTTCTTTCTTTTTTGCTTTTTTAAGATTTTAGTTCTCTATTTTTACTAGTGAGGAATGAGAGAGCTAAAAATAAATATAATCCATTATATGCTTGGAAAAAGGCATATTTCTTCTTTTGAGTAAGCTTTTTTCAACTTAAGAAAACAACAACCCTGAATTTGACTTCTATTCTGGTAGTATGTCAGATTAGGCACCCTGAAAAACCTGCCTGTTAAGAAACAGCTAGATTGTAGAGCATACAGAATTCTAGTGCATTTACCAGCCCCACAGTAAGTGTGATAAATCTCTAGGCTGCATCTCCTCTCTCCATGAAACTGATTGTGGACTTCCAAACTCCAGAAATCTAAGATGTAAATTTGTATTATTTTAAGCCACTTAGTCTGTGGTAATTTGTTATAACAATAATAGGAAACTAATACAGATGCCAAGTCTCAAGACTCTGTTCAATATTTTGCTAGGGATGTTAGCCAGTATGATAAGGCAAGTTAAATAAAACCATAAGAGTTAGGAAGAAATAAAATGTCACTATATATCAATTAGAGCCTATTCAGGAGATAGAAACTCCATCAATAATTTGAACAGAGGAACTTAGTATAAAGAATTACTAATTAGTAAAAAAAAAAGAATTACTAATTAGTAAAAAGTGATTAGTTACTAAAAGGGATAAAATAGAACTCTAAAGAATATAGGAATAGGAAGTGTAGGGAATAGCTGCTGTCTCTAAGGCTGAGAAAGGGTACCCAAAGAAGGAACAAACGTAAAAGAGTTCCCTACTCCCAACCAAAGCTAACATTCAGACCTCATTGAGGAGGGTGTGACTGTGCAAGTATGCTGAGGTATCTCAGGTCAGAGGTGGTCTGGAGATAGAGGGCCAGGACTGGAGAGGATGAAGTACCCGCTGTGGTGCCAACAAAATGCTCTTTGGGCTATGCACCACTGTGTCTCCCATGGACTGCTGGCAAGGGAGGCACCCACATGGCCTCCCTTGAAATTCAGTAGTGAGTGGGTGCCACTGCATTTCCCACATACTTCTGCAACCATACTATGCTGTAGAAACAAGAAGCAGAACATACCAGAACTATTTCTTCTGCTAGGCCTTAGAGCATTCTTCCCATACCCTCTGCTGACAAAATCTAACATTATACCAGCTGCCAAAAAAAATGTTTACAGGGTTCAGCTCCAATGTCATAGAACAGGGTGAAAAAGGGTACATTTGGAGCTGAGTGGGAATAAATTGATAATTAGTATAGCTAGCAATTAATTTTTAGATAATGATAACCTTAAAAGATATTCATAATAGATAATCAAGTACTAAGGAAGAAACCAAATGATTGGTGTGTGAGATTTGTAAAATATTATTAAGAGAAATGAAAAAGAATTGAAATAAATGGGTAGATATTACTATGTTCAAGGGCCAATGGTGTCGAGATATAAATTCTCCCCAAATTGAGCTATAGGTTCAATGCACTAAAGGGGAATGTATGGAAATGTTCTTAACAGCACTGTTTGTATATATTATACATAAATTGTGAATATTGTTTTATTTGTTCTCAGTTTATTCAAAATCATTTTCATATGAGCAATATCTTTAATAATCAGGAAAAATAAAGATTTATACTTTGAAAAACTACACGTAATATTAGGGAATAAGAGGATAATACCTGGGAAAATGAAAAGTGAATAATATGTCAAAATGTTAAAAATAAAAGTACTCTTTTATCCTTCATATCATTTTTCTTTATATACTTTTGCACTTTTAAATCTTCTATTATAAACATACTTTACTATGTTCATCAGAAAAAAGGAAAAATAAATTCATCGCCCAAAGTCTGATTGTTTATACACAACAGTAAGACAAAGAGCTGTGGGACACTGAAGACTTTTTATAGTTGTTCCTCCCTTGGCCCCCTGGGGCCTGGTAGGACAAATTGTAAAGGGGAGCAGGAGGCACCCAGGCCTTGAAACCCCAGGTTGCCCACTGGTTGCACTGAGGAGGTTGCATTTCTTTATGAAATTATCTACCAATTAATAGGCATTCTTCTTTTCTTTTTTATTTTTGGTTGTTATTGTTAGGAAAAATTTCTATGGGCCAATGGGCTTTTTCTATGGAGACCGTTTTGGGGCTGAAGTTACCATGGAGATCCCTGAGTACACGTCTGGTTACCATAGACAAAGAAGGGAATGTTGACTACATGTCCTGCTTCAATGATATGCACATTCAAAAACCTGTGAAAGAGGCAAGTGAAACAAACCGCCCCCCCCATCCCCCCTCCCGCTAAAACCTGGCTAGAGAGAAACACCCTTTGGGCAACCTGTAAGAGTAATTTAGTCCTTTGAAAAGTTGAGAGTGGAATCATCTAATGGTTGGAGTGGCGGCCTTAGGGGGATCTCCCTGCTACCTTGTGGTCTGTTCAGGAAAGGTGTGCATTCTAAGGATAGGCAAAAAGAGAAAAAAGCTTCGGCAAGCAAATCCATGGCAAATGTATGATTCTTCTCTTAAATGCTGTCCAGCAGAAGTGGTGATGTGACATCTATTCTTTCATATAATGCGCCCTTTAAAATACTCAACATATTCCCCCTAAAACTGTGAGTGTATAGACTGACTGACTTAACATCTTACACCTTAAGGACTTGTAAAGTTCAGAATCCTTTATTAAAATAGAAAGACCCTAGAAAGAATTGTCAGCCCCCTCCCCCCCAGTAATTATTATTTAACAACTCATCAGCAATTAGTTATAACATTGGGCTGAAAGTGAGCTGATGGGAACTAGGACTGGGGTGATTGTTTGCAGGGGAGATGAGAAGTGAAGAGCAGAGAAGGGACGTAGAAGTGCAGGTGGGAACCCCAAATATCCATAGGAAGGAGGCTTCGGACTTCCCTTAAGGGACAGTTTACCATTGTGACTGAGCTCACAGACCTTGGCTTCAGGCAGCTAAGATTCAAATCCCATTTACCAGCTATATGAACCCTGGGAAACTTACTTTACCTCTCTATTCTTGAATCTGTAAAATGGGCATAATAACAGTTCTGTTCCTTGGGGCTGTGTTGAGGGCTAAATGAAACAACCCACAGAAAAGCTCTCAGTGCAGAGCCTGGCACCCAAGGCGTTCTCCGTAAATGTTGGCTATTGTTATTTGCTGCTTCCTGATTTGCTTTGGCCCTGTCCTCTGAGGAGGACAGACTGCAGATGCCTCCGAACAGAAGAACATGGTCTCTCTGATTAAAGAGGGCTGGGCCTCCAAGGAAGGCCTGCCTTCTCAAGTGGCTATGTAAATCACCTAATTTGATTTGATGATGATGTTTTATGCTTGTTATGTTTACTAAATTGATCTGCGTTATTAGTTCTATGTTTTAACACTTAGAAAATCTCTATTTTAGGTTCAGTCAGCTCTGATTGAAACTCTGTACAGATACCGATCTGACCTGCAAATCATCTTTAATGTCATTGACTCTGATCACTCGGGTAAATGAACTTGGATTTATTTACTAGCAGTAGAAAGCAAAGATTGGTCTATTTCTCTGAAACTAGAACTGTGTTTTCATTTATTGCTTTGTATAACTCGTTAATATTATTGTTATTTTAGTTGGCTACTAACTGTATTTGAGACCATACGGTCCAATATAGGCCTATGTATCCATTAGTCAGACAAAAATAGCTCCTTTTATAAGTCACCAGTATAGATGAAAAGATAATTCACTGTTCATTTAAAGTGGCCCTCTCAGCATAGCAGGCAGTGCTTCAGTCTCATAAACATCATGGTTACTCCTGGTCATAAAAATCATCTCTGGAGTTCTGATTCTGTTTTGGGGACTGAGGGCTATGAAAATTCATTTTCTCCTCTAGCTTTGTAAAGTTCAGAATCCTTTATTAAAATAGAAGTACCCCAGGGAGAGTTGTCAGCACCCCCCCCCAGTAATTATTAGTTAACAACTCATCAGCAATTAGTTATAACATTTATATTGCTTGCAGATATACTTTATTCATTTATTTTTCACTTAAATGCACTGGAGTGACATTGGTTAGTAAAATGATACAGGTTAAACATGTACATTTCTGTGATACATGATCTATATATTGATTGTGTGCCCACTACCCACATTTTCAAACTTTAAAAAAATCATCAGATAATCCTTAACCGCAACTGTCATTGAGCACCCAAACATTAATAATAAAAACAGAGAAGTAAGTTATTGCCTATAAAACATGGCAGAGCCATTGTTTCCAGTGCTCTTACTGAGTCCCAGGGTATCTTTTCCCTCTGCTTTGATGTTGCCTTCCTCTCTGCCCTGCTTCCATGTCCCTTTCCCCTTAGATTTTAGATCTTATCATTTCTATGCCACATATAGTCCCCACAGTTCACAGTCTCCCTCCATTCCTTCACTGTTTCCTCATGCCAGCTTTAGAATAATCTTACGATCACTTAGCAGTTTAAAGTGACATACTGTTTCTTATATTTATTCTTTTTCATTTCCTTCAGTGTCTTGATGGTCAGGCATGTTAGTGAGCTGCTAATTGGGACTATTCAGTCAGTATGGCTTCCACATCCCTCCCTTAGGTGGGCCTTAAAATAAACACTCACAGCATTCTCCTATATTCTTTTAGGTCTGATCTCCATGGAGGAATTTCATACCATGTGGAAACTTTTTAGTAGTCACTACAACGTTCATATTGATGATTCCCAAGTTGATGAGCTTGCTAGAAGAATGGACTTGAACAAAGACGGAAGCATCGACTTTAATGAGTTTTTTAAGGCATTCTATGTAGTGCACAAACTTGACAGCTTGACCAAAACAAATGCCAATCCTGTTTAACAAGAACTAGGGCCTTCCTTATGAGCATGGTCACTGACATAGTCTTTTGCAGAACCAGTAGCAGAAAGAAGTAGACCCCAATTTCCACCATGAGCAGATAGATGTATAGTGTGAGTATTGGAAGTTTCTAGTAAGCTGTTGTAGTTAAGACTAGCTTAAATGTCAGCACCAGTGGTAGGACTCACAAATTTCTAGCTATAATGTGGATTTGAGCCTAGTTTTGGTCTCTTTGACGTCCGCTAACCAAGACACCAGAGCAGTTTGGAAACATACTGAAAGAAACTCGGAGTACACAGAAAACACTACGCCATCTGTGAGTGGCCAAGGAATAGGAGGAGGAAGACTAAGCCATTAATGTAATAAAATATGTCCAGCCTTCAACTGTAATTTTCTTTGGTCATACCATAAACTGGTAATTTTCAATCATGGGGGAACCACAATTCAGGGATGGGGGCCATATCCGATTCTTGGGGTAAGCTATGTGAGTGTATTGTTTGAAAAAGCATGTAGTCTACGACCATACCACCCTGAACGTGCCTGATCTCGTGTGGAAAAGCATGTTATTTTCTTGTCTGTTGGAGATACAAAGTGAATACTTTCAGACTGGGCCCTGCAATTAATATGATTTGACACCTTCATTGAGAAGATGGGGCCTTGGTTAGACATACATTGTGCAATTCTGCTATTCTGATGGCATATCAAACAATAAGCAATTTCTGTTTAAAGGGAAGTATATTTTAATTTTTCTCTAAGTTTGAGAACTTCGACATTTATCAGTCTGTCAGGGCAGATATCCTGCAATGCTGCCTGCTATACACACCAAAATAATGGATAAAATATAACAAATATCTTTTTTGAATGCATAACTGAGCTGATAGGAAAGTAAAAGAAACCCCTGTGGGGCAGGAAAAAACAGAGCATAATTAAAATCTTAGCAATATTAACATTGGACAGGATAGACTTTAAGGCAAAGAATATCATTAGGGACAAAAAAAAGGTCATTACTGAATGCTAAAAGGAATGATTCACCAGGAAGATACAGTAATTATAAAAATATGCATCTAATAACAGCTTTTAAATTTCTAATGCAAAAATTGACATAACTACTAGAAGAAAGAGGTAGACGGAGATTTTGAATATACCCATCAGTAATTGATCATGTAAATAAAAACATTAGTGTATAAAAATTGGACAACCCAATTAATCCTCCTGATCATGTCTGTGTCTGTATGTGTATACTCTACAATCAATTTTAGAGAATACACATTATTTTCAAGCATACATGGAACATTTATAAAAATTGATCATGTGTTAGATCAGCAATTTTAAGCCTTTTTCATCTCAAGGTGCATATAAACTAATTACTAAAATTCTGCAGCACACCAAACAATACATGTTTTGCTGATCTGACCAAAAAAAAAATAGGTATAATTTTGACTCATTCATACCAGATGGCTATTTTTGTGTTGGCTGTTATCATTTTTTTATTTGATGATCTAAGGGAAAAGAAGTCAGTGCCCCTGACTAAATAAATAGTCAGGTATTGCATGTTTTAAAAATTCTCGTGGCACACCTGTTGAAAATTGCTGTATTAGACCACAGAAAATATCTCAAACTGCTAAGCAATCAATAATAAAGACAGTATATTATCTGATTATAATGCAATTAAACTAGAAACAATATAGGAATATAGCCATATTAATGAGCAAAAAGGGGATATAGCTAGCTCTAGCAAAAGTTGCTAAAAATAGTTCACAAGAATACCGTAAATAACTTTATCCAAATAATTTTCAAAAATAGGAGTTTGGACAATTTCCTAGGGGAAAATATAATGTACTAAAGCTGACTCAAGAACAAAAGGAGGGTCTGAGGAGACATATAACCATTAAACAATGAATGTGATGACTGTAATATGTCGATTTGACTAGGCTGAACTACATTTCTCAGATTTTTTTTTCTTGTATGTTTCTGGTTAAGGTAGGCCATGAGGGCTACTGAGAGATTTGGAAGACAAAGGGAAGCAGAGCCATTGTGCAGCTCCCACACACTGAGCTGCTGCTGTGTGTGAAGTCCAGCTAGGCCTGCAATTGCTCTGTGTTCCCCTGGATCCTGTCAGCTTTTCTACCTCCTGAACCAGGTGTGTGTGTTTAGCCCTGCGAGGAAGAGCCCTGGCTTCTGCAGGATAACCTTGTCACCAATGCCAGAGGCCATAAGAATGGACTCAGGTGTCAGTCCGACAGCTAGTGCCTGTGGGTTTGAGCCTGCTTCTGATCTTCCCTCCTGATTGCCTGCCCTGTGGACTTCAAGGTCCAGCATTAAGTATGGTGTCTACGGCCTTACAGAGCCTGCTTAGCCAGCTTCCCCATTTGCATAAGTCACTTCTCCTACTGCTTATATATGTATATCTCCTATGGGTTTGGCCTCTGGTTGAACCCTGATTGATGAAGAATTTGGCACTGAGAGTGGTTCCAGAAGAACAGGATCTTAAAGATGAATATCCTGCATGTGCAGAGCCCTCTGCACATGATGTGCAAAGCCACCCTGTTATCTCACATGAAAATCCACTGATAATGCCAGGAGAGTGCTTTTAAGAAACGTTCAGTCTCTAGCAGCACCGGATGAGTCTTTTGTTGTTGCTTCCTAAACATCATTTGGTTATTGATTCTCAGGTTCTTGCTGGAGCTCTTATTTTCTCCCTTGGGCTTCTAGCCTCTGGAATTCATTCTATGCCTTTGTTAGAAATTTTACTTAAACATGTACTTAGATTTTACTGAAGATTGTCATTTAATGTTGTAAAACTTCTGCCTGACATGAGTTGTGCTTAACCACAATTCAGTTTTACAAACCATACACACACACACACACACACACACACAGGGGTGGGCAAATGTAGGTTTACAGTTGTGAGTGTGTGAGCTGTGAGTAAAACATAGAGTTTAATCTTGTATTGTTTATTATTGTATTATTTTCCATACAAACAACTGTAAACCTTTTGCCTACTTACCTCTCTGTGTGTATAGAGTTGTGAAATATTTCTATTTTAATTTATATTTATTACAAATGAGATTGCACATCTAATTAGTTAGTCTGTTTTCTTCTAAGAAAATCATGTTCTTGTCCTTTGCTTATTATAATACTATAGCTGTTTGTCTTTTTCTTAATGATGTTGAGGAACTTTAAAGTACTTCTTGATACTAATCCACTGTTCTTTATTTGAGAAGCAGGTATCTTCTCCCAGTCTGTGACTTGAGTTGCCACTTTCTTTTTGAGATATATTTTCAAGCAGAAGTTTTACATTTCAATTTATCCAGCTTGTCAATGTTTTTGTTTATAATTCATGCTTTTTTTGCACTCTCTGATGTTGCTCAGTGGACTAACTGCCGGCCTGTGAACCAAAGGGTCGCTGGTTCGTTTCCCAGTCAGGACACATGCCTGGGTTGTGGGCCAGGTCCCCAGTGGGGAGCACGTGAGAGGCAACCACACATTGATGTTTCTCTCTCTCTCTTTCTCCTTCCCTTCCCCTCTGTCTGAAAATAAATAAATAAATAAAATCTTTTTTTTTAAAGTCTGCTTGCTCCTTTTTTCCCCATAGGGTTTAATTCTGATGATTTGATTGTTTTCCTTCTTGTTTTCAGCCATTTTAAATGTGTTTAATAATTTGATTCTGGTTGTCTCCTTGTATTTGAAGTTTGTGGGGGTCCAATAGTATGTTTGCCATATGTGCAGACTCTTGATCAGGTTGGATTGTTCATTCTTGGACTTTGTCACTTTGTATTGTGAACTCATTACTTTTTGAAGTAATTATTTTATTGTGTTCAATTACAATTGTCTGCATTTTCTCCCAACCACTCCCACCCACCCCAGCCAAACCCACCTCCCCCACCCTTGCTTCTATCCTTCCCCACCCCGTTTTTGTCCATTTGTCCGTCATAATATGAACTCATTATTAACAGGACTTGTATTTTCTTCTGTGAAAATGCCATGATATTTGGGATGTGGGAGCATCTCTTCAGAGAAGCTTTTATGTGCTTCTACCTTATACCTCAGGAGTGTCACTGCTTGAAGAATAATTCATTATTTTTTAGTCTGGAGTTTCTGAACTACGTGGGTAGAGTAAAATCAATGTGAATTGTGGTCCTGTGGTTTAGTATTCTCAGAGAGCTTTTCTTTTTTTTCCCACCTAAAGCCCTATGTCCTGTGGTCTCTTCTTTTTAAATCTTTTCATAAATTGAATAGTCTTTTGAGGGTCTTGGCTTTATGCAGAGTTCTCAATTCCAATTCCCTACCCCCCAAAGCCCAAAGCATCATTTGCTACTGCTGTGTGGGAATTAACACCAGACCCCTAGGTTCTGGAGACAAATACCACCATGCCCCCATTAGCTCAAGTGCTCACCCCTCTGTTTTGTCACTTCCCTCTTTGTTTCTGGCACCTGGGGATTTGCTTTTATTATTTGTGAACCTAGATGTACATTTAAAATAATTATGTAACATTTTATGCAGTACTTCTAGAAGATTATAGTAAATGGATTTTCAGGTTGTCTGGGTCTACTAAATTTCTCCAAGCTGATAAGTAGACTTTTTGTATCCACTGCTATTTATTAATAATCTTGAGGCTTCATATTTTTATTTGGACAATTATTGTTTTTTTAAAGTCAGATTTCTTTCTTTTTTATCTTTTCCCACTGATTGTGATCTACAGGAGCCAGAGGTTTTTTTAAAAATTAATTAATTAATTAATTAATTTACTTTTAGAGAGGGAAGGGAGGGAGAAAGAGAGAGAGAGAAACATCAATGTGCGGTTGCTGGGGGCCGTGGCCTGCAGCCCAGGCATGTGCCCTGACTGGGAATCGAACCTGCAATGCTTTGGTTCGCAGCCTGCGCTCAATCCACTGAGCTACGCCAGCCAGGGCTTTATTTGGACAATTATTGAATGTTCATAATATGCCATGGTGCTTGAATTATACAATGTGTCATTGACTGGGTTTCAATTTAAACTTGGG